GCCATCTGTCAAACTCCTCAATTTTGCGGACGACATAACCGTTGTTGGACTCATTAGAGAAAATTAGTCTGCTTATAGACAGAATGAAGAACAGCTTGTCTACTGGTGCAGTCAGAACTTAATGCTCAACACCCCACCCCCCTTCCCGAATCAGACTGTAGATGACTATCAATACACCATTGATGTCAGCCATCTGAGGAAAGAGGAAGAAGGAATCAGAAGAGAACACTCTCACCTAGAATTCAAGCTATCCACACACCCCACGTCCCTGCCCACAGCTGACAGTTCACATAAACCACAAGCCTCAAAAGCATTTTTCCCCAGGCCATCAGAACACTGAAGAAACAACTTCAACGCCAATAAAGCAGACACAAAGCATTCACTCATGAAAACAATAATAATAATAATACCATATATGTATGTATGTGTACAGTTGATTCATTATTACAAGTTATGCATTACTCATTATACCATTCTGCTTGAATAATTGTGCAACAAGTACAGAACAAAAGAAAGGTCTACTAACTCTAGACCACTGACCCATGACTGTGAACTGTATTCTCGAATGGGATGGCCTTCTTAATCCATCAGGAGGATGGGACACTGGTACACTTTCATCACTAAGGCCATACTTGGATTACAACCCACCTCTGTAACTTAATCTCACAAAGAAGTGTAACTTCTCACAGTCTGCAAGCAAATGATCAATTGTTACTTAGTGTTCCGTTTGCTCACACCGGACTGGACAAAAGGGCTTTCGTTCACTCTGCTCCCTCTGCATGGAACAGGCTGCAGGAAAACTGGAAATTAACTGAGCTTATCTTCTCGAATACATTTAAAACTAGATTTAGAACCCTTGATGGACTTCCTGTGTTGTAACTGCCTTCTATAATTTTGTATATAACTATGTGTAAAACTGAGATCTGTTACTGTATATGTTTTGCTGCCTCTTGGCCAAGACTCCCTTGGAAAAGAGTTTCTTTTTTATTCTCAAATTACTTAAATTGTTGAACAGCAAAATATTTTTATGCCATTGATAGAATGAGTCATGAGGAAGTGAGTCGCATGTCCTGCATAATTAGTGGTGGTTAGATCAGCTATATTATTTCTGTCTGTATAAAATTTTATAAGACCATGGCCATGGTGTTGCGGTTTATTTACAATTGTACTGCTAACATAAAAGCATTCAAAAAGGATTCTTAAGCACCACACTCTGTGTACAACTTTGTTGATTTTCTAATAAAATAAAAGTAGAAAAGCGCTTGTTTTTATTTAAATACACAAAATAGCTTGAAATCGGCTGTGCTTGATTTACTATTACTACTGACAATAATAACAATAATAATAATAATAATAATAATAACAAGGTTTTGTTCATCCACTTTGTGAGTGAGATTTATTTCTACTGTATGTTTTAAATATGTTTTATCTGTTGTAGTCCCTCTTTAGATAGGAAATGGTGACATTTTTAAAATCAGATTATTATTATTATTATTATTATTATTATTATTATTATTATTATAAAAATGCTAGAACTTTCCTTAAAAATCTTTACTGTTTGTTTACATGCCTTTCTTATTTTTGCAGCAGCTTTTATAAACTCTGAATATGTGACATCATCAGATTATTAGGTTAAGTCTCTCGTTTATGTTTGTTTTGCACTATTTACAATCCGGAAGGGTAAATAGGAAAAATATTGATCAGCGTTAGTGTTTGCATAGCCGGCAACCACAGAATGCGTCAGAACTAAACTTGGAATCAGTGGAGAAGCCAGCTTGACAGATGTGACGTTGTTGCCTCGCCTTTGCATTCTTTCACTTATAAATACAGTTTAGAGAATAACTAACTGGCACCTCAAATATGGTGACAGAAGAACAGGTCGTCTTCCTGGTTTAAAAACCCATGTGAATGTATTACTTTAAACGAGAATTTTAAACAGAACAAGCCCTTTACATAAAAACACCATCAGTGCACCACTTTTTTTCTAATTTGGAGAATGTGTGATGAAGCCGTTGCATTTACGCTTCAAGATGTTTAACCAATATACCTCCAATCTTTAATGAAAACTGCCCAGCAACATGAAGTAGTTGTAAAAGGTGTTTTTGACTTGTTTATATTTTACACTCAAGCAAATTATAAAATGTCTTGTATTATTGAGCCTTCTTTCATAGCAGAGAGTAGCTAATTATGTCTGGTTGGTTCACTTTGGAGAAATGAATAAACAATTTTAGTTGTTCTGTGATTGCGAGACAGAGCTACACCTACAGTACAGACACAATACTAAAATTGTGGTTGTACGAGAAGACTTTTTTTAACTGTGTCATTCCTCTGACACCTCCAGCTGAAAAGAAATTCTTTGCCTACGTCACTCCCCTAAAATGAAGCTTATATATAAGACAAGGACAGGTGCTGAAGTAAGTGAATGACAGCAACATCCTCAGAGAACTTAAAACATGTTTAACACCTGCCTTAGGTAAGTATATTTCTTTTTATGTCAGGGGTATTCTATTGGGTTTTTGTTGGGCCAAATTGTTATATGGCTTTTGCCAGAGGGCCACTCATTTCCATGTACTCCATCTCTTGTATTGTACTTTTTCTTTTTAGTCAGTATGCATGCACTTTGGTGAGATGTTGAAGCTTTCCAAGTGAAAATCACACAACTTTGCTGATAGTTTATGTCTTTATTTTTGTCTGTCGATTCCCTTGTATTCTCTATCCAACAAATGTGATGGACAAGGCATGTGGGTGCCTCAGCGTTTTATATGTGTACACATCGCTGTCAACTTTGTGTCTCGTCGTATGGATGCAACTTGATTTCCCAAGAAACTGCTGTTAATAATTTAATTGAATTCAAATCAAATCAATTTAATTTAATTCAATTTAATTTAATTTAATTATTTACTAAGAGGTATGTGGGCAATGGGCTGGGCCAAAATGACTGATGGGCCAGTTCTGGCCCTATTGAATAGGGCTTCTCTATGTAAATAAATTTTTAAACTATTGAACTACGTGTATTTACTGAAGGTAATCATTATTACCTTTTAATTTGTTTATTTGCATGAATACAAATCTATTAGCAAAAGTTTCAGTTGGCAAAATAAGTTTTTGGAGGTCTGACACTGACGGTATAATCTACTTTAAATTAAAAAAAAATTAAAATCAGTTTAGGTATAACCAAATCATAGTTCAGCAGAAAGTATTGTAAAACATATTTCTCAAATAAATTAAAACACAATAAAAAACATATTCATTGCCTAAGTCCTGTTGCCTTGCAGCAAGAAGGTCCTGGGTTCAAATCCTGGCCAGCAGTGTTTCTGCTTGGAGTTTGCATGAGTTCTCACCGGGTACTCTGGCTTCCTCCCACAGTCCAAAGATATGACTGTCAGTTTGATTGGTCACTCTAAAAATGTCCTTAGATGTGTGTGTGTGTGTGTGTGTGTGTGTGTGTGTGTGTGTGTGTGTGTGTGTGTGTGTGTGTGTGTGTGTGTGTGTGTGTGTGTGTGTGTGTGTGTGTGTGCTTGTCCTGTTAAGGACTGGCAATCTGTCCAGGGTGTATCCTGCCTGTTTCCCCGGAGACTGCTGGAAATGGGGTCCAGCCCTGCTATCCTGCGTAGATAAATCGATGGATGTAAAATACAAGAACAATATTACTATATAACCAATTTATTTAGAAAATGATAGCAGTATTTATAACCCCCCCCACACACACACACACACACACAGAGAGAAAAAAACTCACAGATTTTATTAGTTTGATTTCTACCACCAAACATCTCCACAACTCCTAGTTCAGGTTTGTAGAACCCAGTTCTAATGTGGTCCAAATGAAACGAGCCGGGTTTTCACAAATCCAATGAAGCTCTCATAAATCCCACACTGGGTTTCAGGATACTGCTATTAATGTAGAATAGTTTAGTCCAGGTTAGAAGTGTTTAAGGATTTTAGTTTTGAAATGAGAACAAATCAAAGGGTCAAGGGGTTAAAAAATTAGTGGGAATTACCCTTTATCTATTTTTCTGACTCATAAGCTGACAATTGAACTACGATTGTTGTAATATTGATGGGAAAGTATTTTGTGGAAAAACAATTTGGGATAGAAGTAAAATCAACAAAGTAGGATAGTTAAGTTTTAATTGTATTGTGTTTAATGACCGCTATCAATAAAGATTAGAAAAAAGCAACAACAAAAAACTTAGATACAGAAAATAGCATCCCCCTCAGTTCCAGAAACAAATGCTGCCATTTCCATATATGGTATGTAGTTCCGAGTGCCCCATCCCACCCGTGCTTTCAGCCACAGTCAGGTGTACCAGAGTCCTACAGACTGAAGCTCTGCTCTAATCTGGTTCCCTTCTAGTTCCTGAAATAGGGGTACCGGAGTTTATTTCTTCCCCATTTGACAATCTTACAAGGCATTGATTGATTCCATTTATATTTATACTACAATTGATATGCACACTGGTGAAATACTATAGTGTTATTTTTAAATAAAGATACCTTAAAGCAGGCGTTTCTTAAGCAACTTAAGATATATGCTTTAACACAACAATCCGGAGTTTTACCTTTCAGGAATTAAGTATGATTTGTTTTTTAGAAGTCCTTAAATGTTTTACCATGTATTGTGATTTAATGTAGGCAACATGTCATTCTGTTCTTTTTGCTAAGCCCATCCCCCATTCCATAGAGCCCACTGCAAGTTGAATTGTCTGCCATTTAGCATTAGCCAATAGAGATTGACATCCACTTACAGACAGATGTCAATCACAGATTGTGTGAGGACGTATCTAGACAGAGAGAGTAGGAATTTTTTTCTAGTGGATAAGTAAGTCTTGAAAATCTATATGTATAATAAACCCCACAATGTGAGAATAATAATTGTAAAACATTGTGTTTTAGCTCTGTTGGCCGGCTAGAGGTGCATGTTAATCAACAAGAGGCGTTTCTTTTGGTCGTAAATATGCAAGTAGTGAAAACTGCACAATACATGTATCAGCCACTAGATGGTGGTGTTGGATAGAATCAACTTCCAGATGGGTCCTCAAGAAGATTTGTTCAAAGGCCAGATTTTTTCTCCAGCAGACACCGTGCGCCGGATGCTCTTCTAAAATACTTAAAAATTCTAAAATACAGTATAACTGCTGCACATTAAATAATAAAAAAGAAATGTTGAATGAGAGCTATGCTGGTGAAAATTCTCAGCCATCCAGGCCATGGTGATCCAAAGAGGTTCAAATAAAGGCAACTGGAATTCTTTGTTTTCTTGAAGACATTTCGCTCCTCATTGGAGGAGCTTTGTCAATTCTGGCTGATGAGTCATTTGCCTCCATTGTGTGGGGGTTAAATTGATTAAATGCAGAAGGGTGTGACCTAGACTGAAACTGTTTGGGGATTAGATTCAGAGATGCATTGTGTGTACTAGAGAGGTGAAACCCGAGTCTTCCTTCTCTTTTTAATGTAGTTTTTTCCCCCCATTCCATTTATGGCTTATTTTACTCCTCTCTCCACCCATCAATCTTCTCTGTTCAGAATGTTTTCTTTTTTTATATTCAAAAGCGTGTCTCTTTTCCTTCGGGTGTAAGTGGACTGCAGAGTGTTGACCTGAAGAGGTGGGGCTCTCCTATGTTGTGTTGCATAGTTGTTTGGTTTGCTCTATGAAGCAATCTAGACATTCCACGCTGCATTGGACTGTACAAACAACGCCACTAAGCTTCTGTTTGGGTGTCTTGTCTTTTGCATGGACCAACTTCTGTCTGAAGATGTTGTTGAGTTTAAAGTTTACCAAGATGTTGTGTCTTGAGGTCTATGAGTTTATAATAATTTTTGATTACATGCTGATTTCAGTTAGTTTAATTTGATATAGAAAAATAGTAGAAAATTCTCTATTCTTGATTCAGTAATATTTGGGGGACGGGTTGAAAGGTCTGGCGGACCAGATGTGTCCCGTGGGCCGCCATTTAAGGTTCACTGGTGTAGAGAGTAGTGAGAATTGTGTTTAGCATCAGTAGGGTCTGAGCTTCATCATGGGTGGATAGCATGTGTGTACAATCTGATTTCGAGCAGCAAGACAGAAATAAATGCAAAAACACTCACACATAAAGGATTAGTGGTCACTCTTTTGATTGTAGTTTTAGTTGCATTTGAATCACATAAAAAAGGTTTGCATGGTGTAGTAGCCAGTGTTCTAAAGTTTCTTTAAAGGTATTGATATTTGGAGGCCCTCAGGCCCAAACAGTTCGGCTGGGCAGAAAGGTCTGGCGGGCCGGATTTGGCCCGCGGGTTGCCAGTTGTGGACCACTGGTTTAAAGGGACCTAAACAAAATGATATTGTGTTCTGAACCACTGCGTGGCAGTGGTTGTGCTTGTGTTTATATAGAAATGCAGAAGTAGGTTCCAGGGGAGTTCCCAAGAAATGCTGCTGGATGAATGATGGATGTACACGAACTCCTGTAATAAAGTTCTCCTGGATAAAGTTATCACTACTGCCAGCATCCTAAACACCCCACAACAAATATTTCTCAACAAGGGATTACATATGAGTGATCTACAATAACTATGTGATGTAGTGGGCAGAGCATTAAAACTATTAATTAGCTAGCTCAACATTTTTGTGAAAGTCAATGAGTTGCATTTATAGGACAGCACCAGCTCACGAGGTAAGGCAGAATGTGCAGTAAAGGGTCAAATGTGCATGAAAAAGGGATTCTCTGTAAGAGTGATCTGGGAGCCTAGAAAAGTACCACATGAATCTAATTAAACAATAATTATTAACATTATTACAGGAGGGAAACAGGTGTGAAAAGAATGGGTGTCATCAATATCTTGCAAATCCTACTAATAATAGCAGGTAAGTTTGAACTTAAAATATGTTAGTAGTGAAAAAGAAATTAAGAGCACTACTCTAAAATACAATAACTTATATGTTATACAGTGGGAATAACGTGGAAAAACAAAACCGCAGCTGGCCAATCCACAACCGAGGAAGCTACAGCAACAATTACAGCTGAACCTACTACCACAATATCTCCAACAGCAACAGCTGCTACGACTACAACCACAGAAGGTTCAACAATGACCACTGCAGCTCCAAACACAACAACTGAAAAAACTACAACCACAGCTGCCCAAACAACAACTACAAGTGATCCACCAACAACCACAGCTGCTCCAACAACAACCACAGCTGCTCCAACAACAACCACAGCCACCCCAAGAACAACCACAGCTGCCCCAACAACAACCACAGCTGCCCCAACAACAACCACAGCTGCCCCAACAACAACCACAGCCGCCCCAACAACAACCACAGCTGCCCCAACAACAAGCACACCTGCCCCAACAACAACTACAAGTGCTCCAACAACAACTACAGCTGCTCCAACAACAACCACAGCTGCCCCAACAACAACCACAGCTGCCCCAACAACAACTACAAGTGTTCCAACAACAACCACCGCTGCTCCAATTACAACAACAGATGCTCCAACAACAACCTCGGCAGCTCCATCTACAACCACAGCCGCCCCAACAACAACCACAGCTGCCCCAACAACAACCACAGCTGCCCCAACAACAACTACAAGTGCTCCAAGAACAACCACAGCTGCTCCAACAACAACCACAGCTGCCCCAGCAACTACAAATGCTTCAACAACAACCACAGCTGCCTCACCAACAACCACAGCCGCCCCAACAACTACAAGTGCTCCAAAAAAAAACACAGCTGCCCCAACAACCACAGCTGCTCCAACAACCACAGCTGCCCAAACAACAACCACAGCCGCCCCAACAACAACCACAGCCGCCCCAACAACTACAAATGCTCCAACAACAACCACAGCTGCTCCAATAACAACCACAGCCGCCCCAACAACAACCAGAGCTGCCCCAACAACAACCACAGCCGCCCCAACAAATACAAATGCTCCAACAACAACCACAGCTGCCCCCACAACAACTACCGCTGCTCCAACAACAACCACAGCCGCCCCAACAACAACCACAGCTGCCCCAACAACAAGCACACCTGCCCCAACAACAACTACGGGTGTTCCAACAACAACCACAGCTGCTCCAACAACAACCACAGCTGCCCCAACAACAACCACAGCTGCCCCAAAAACAACCACAGCCGCCCCAACAACAACCACAGCTGCCCCTAAAACAACTACAAGTGCTCCAACAACAACCACAGCTGCCCCAACAACAACCACAGCCGCTCAAACAACAACCACAGCTGCCCCAACAACAACTACAAGTGCTCCAACAACAACCACAGCTGCCCCAACAACAACAACTACCGCTGCTCCAACAACAACCACAGCTGCTCCAACAACCACAGCTGCCCCAACAACAACCACAGCTGCCCCAACAACAACCACAGCCGCCCCAACAACAACCACAGCTGCCCCAACAACTACAAATGCTCCAACAACAACCACAGCTGCCCCAATAACAACCACAGCCGCCCCAACAACAACCACAGCTGCCCCAACAACAACCACTTCTGCCACAACAACAACTACCGCTGCTCCAACAACAACCACAGCTGCTCCAACAACCACAGCTGCCCCAACAACAACCACAGCTGCCCCAACAACTACAAATGTTCCAACAACAACCACAGCCGCCCCAACAACAACCACAGCTGCCCCAACAACTACAAATGTTCTTACAACAACCATAGCTGCCCCAATAACAACCACAGCCACCCCAACAGCAACCACAGCTGCACCAAAAACAACCACAGCCGCCCCAACAACAACAAATGCTCCAACAACAACCACAGCTGCCCCAACAACAATTACCGCTGCCCCAACAAAAACCACAGCTGCCCCAACAAAAACCACAGCCGCCCCAACAACTACAAATGCTCCAACAACAACCACAACTGCCCCAATAACAACCACAGCCACCCCAACAACAACCAGAGCTGCCCCAACAACAACAACAGCCGTCCCAACAACTACAAATGCTCCAACAACAACCACAGCTGCCCCAACAACTACTACAGCTGCTCCAACAACAACCACAGCTGACCCAACAACAACCACAGCCGCCCAAAAAACAACCACAGCTGCCCCAACAACAAGCACACCTGCCCCAACAGCAACCACAGCTGCACCAAAAACAACCACAGCCGCCCCAACAACAACAAATGCTCCAACAACAACCACAGCTGCCCCAACAACAATTACCGCTGCCCCAACAACAACCACAGCTGCCCCAACAAAAACCACAGCCGCCCCAACAACTACAAATGCTCCAACAACCACAGCTGCCCCAATAACAACAATAGCCGCCCCAACAACAACCACAGCCGCCCCAACAACTACAAGTGCTCCAACAAAAACCACAGCTGCCCCAACAACAACTACCGCTTCTCCAACAACAGCCACAGCTGCTCCAACAACCACAGCTGCCCCAACAAAAACCACAGCCGCCCCAACAACTACAAATGCTCCAACAACAACCACAACTGCCCCAATAACAATCACAGCCGCCCCAACAACAACCAGAGCTGCCCCAACAACAACCACAGCCGCCCCAACAACTATAAATGCTCCAACAACAACCACAGCTGCCCCAACAACTACTACAGCTGCTCCAACAACAACCACAGCTGCCCCAACAACAACCACAGCCGCCCAAAAAACAACCACAGCTGCCCCAACAACAAGCACACCTGCCCCAACAACAACTACAAGTGCTCCAACAACAACCACAGCTGTTTCAACAACAACCACAGCTGCCCCAACAACAACCACAGCTGCCCGAACAATAACCACAGCCGCCCCAACAACAACCACAGCTGCCCCAACAACAACTACAAGTGCTCCAACAACAACCACCACTGCTCCAACTACAACAACAGTTGCTCCAACAACAACCTCGGCAGCTCCATCTACAACCACAGATGCCCCAACAACAACCACAGCTGCCCCTAAAACAACTACAAGTGCTCCAACAACAACGACAGCTGCTCCAACAACAACGACAGCTGCTCCAACAACAACCACAGCTGCCCCAACAACAACCACAGCCGCCCCAACAACAACCACAGCTGCCCCAACAACTACAAATGCTCCAACAACAACCACAGCTGCCCCAACAACAACTACAAGTGCTCCAACAACAACCACAGCTGCCCCGAAAACAACTACAGCTGCTCCAACAACGACAGCCGCCCCAACAACAACAAATGCTCCAACAACAACCACAGCTGCCCCAATAACAACCACAGCTGCCCCAACAACAACCACACCTGCCCCAACAACAACCACAGCTGCCCCAACAACAACCACAGCCGCCCCAGCAACTACAAATGCTCCAACAACAACCACAGCCGCCCCAACAACAACTACAAATGCTCCAACAACAACCACAGCTGCCCCAACAACAACCACAGCCGCCCCAACAACAACCACAGCCGCCCCAACAACTAAAAATGCTCCAACAACAACCACAGCTGCCCCAACTACAACCACAGCTGCTCCAACAACCACAGCTGCCCCAACAACAACCACAGCCGCCCCAACAACTACAAATGCTCCAACAACAACCACAGCTGCCCCCATAACAACCACAGCCGCCCCAACAACAACCACAGCTGCCCCAACAACAACTACAGCTGCATCAACAAAAACCACCACTGCCTCAACAACCACAGCTGCCCCAACAACTACAACTGCTCCAACAACAACCACACCCGCCCAAACAACAACCACAGATGCCCCAATAACAACCACAGCTGCTCCAACAACCACAGATGCCCCAACAACAACCACAGATGCCCCAACAACAACCACAGCTGCCCCAACAACAACTACAATTGCTCCAACAACAACCACAGCTGCCCCAACAACTACCACAGCTGCCTCAACAACAACCACAGCTGCCCCAACAACAACCACAGCCGCCCCAACAACAACCACAGCTGCCCCAACAACAACTACAAGTGCTCCAAAAACAACCACAGCTGCTCCAACTGCAACAACATTTGCTCCAACAACAACCACAGCAGCTCCATCTACAACCACAGCCGCCCCATCAACAACCACAGCTGCCCCAACAACAACCACAGCTGCCCCAACAACAACCACAGCTGCTCTAACAACAACCAAAGCCGCCCCAACTACAACCATAGCTGCTTCGACTTCAAGCACAACTGCTCCAACTACAACAGCAACTGAACCAACTACTACCACAAAAGCTCAAACAACAACAATCACAGCTGCTCCAACAACAGCTACACCAGCCACAACAAAAAGCACAGCTGCTCCCACTATAACCACAGCTGCCCCAACCACACTCACAGCAACTCGGACTACAACCACAACTGCTCCACCAACAACCACAGCAGCTCGAACCATAACTACCATTGCAGCTCCAACAACAACCATAGCTACTACAACTACATCCACAACAGCCCCAACCCCAACAACCACTGCAGCTCCAACAACCACCACACAAGCCCCCATGACAACCACAGCTTTTCCAACTACAACAACTGAACCAACAAAAACCACAGCTATCCCAACAAACACAGGTGCTCCCACTGCAAGTACAGCTGCTCCAGCAACAACAACCACAGTAGCTCCAACTACAACCACAACCACACCAGCCACAACAACAACAGCTGCTCCAACAACAACCACAGTTTCACCAACAACAACCACAGATGCTCCAGCTATGACCACAGCAGATACAACAACAACCACCACAATAATTCCAACTACTACCACAACTGAACCAACTACTACCACAAAAGCTCAAAGAAGAACCACATATGCTCCAAGTCTGACCACAGCCCCAACAACGACGACAACAACAACCACTGCAGGCCCAACAAGGACAACAACCACTGCAGCCCCAACAACAACCACAGTGGCTGAAACAACAATCACAGTATCCCCAACTATAGTTCAAAGTCCAACAATAGCAAAGCAGCTTACATTTAGATCTACAGATGCATTTTCTGAGGATTTGTACAATCCAAGCAGTGAACTCTTCAAAGCACGAGCAAGCCTAATAGAGGAACTTGTAAGTATTCCTCTTTAATACATTCTCCAAAACTTTCCACTGATCTTTTTTCAAAACGATTTTATAATATTCACATTTTCAAAAGTTTACGCTTTTGAAATCAAGAGTTCTGAAAAGGACTGCATTTGCCTTGCAGCTTGAAGAAAGCAGGTTTGATACTGTCTCTCTGTGCATGTATGCATTTTCTCTGGGTATTCTGGTTCATCTCTGCACACAAAACAAATGCATGTTTGCTAATGACGGTTCTCAGTCATCAGGTCATGGTAATCTAAAAGGGTTCATAAAAGGGTTCAAATGAATTCAACTGAACTTCTTTGGTTTCTTGAAAACGTTTCGCCTTTTATTCGAGGAGCTTTTTCAATTCTGACTTAGCTTAGCTTAGGGTCAAGCTTATAACAGCAGATGTCTATTGTTCCTTAATGAACAGAAACTACTCATGAGTTCCCCTACACCTGATTTGTTCTGGGAGTGATTGTATTTATTATGTAGCCTAAGAAAGCCATGGATTGCAAAGGTCGTAAACAGATCATGTGTTCTGGTTTGGAAACATGACAGTTGACCTTTAGCACATTGATAAAGATGGCCGGGCAGTGTAATGACTTTTGCATTCCTTGGCTTTCTTAAGCTACAATTATATGCAGGAGGGTGTGAGCTAGACTGAAACTATTGGGGAATACAATTCAGAACTGCTATAAAGCTATCTACGTCAAACAGCAAAACAACCTACATTAAATAGAGGAGGAGGCCTCAGGTGTTACTTTTCCAGGACCTATATTGCAGCTCTGAATTTAATTAACAAACAGTTTTAGCCTAGGTCACACCCTCCGGCATCTAATCAATAAAATTACTAACCGGGGATAGGGAGGAGGGGTACTCATAAGTAGTTTCTGCTCAATAAGTAAATTTAGGCAGCCTCAGCTTATAAGCTTGACTCTCCCATATTCCACTCAAAATTGAGAAAGCTCCTCGGATGAGAAGCAAAATGTCTTCAAACAACCAAAAAAGTCTAGTTGCTTTCTGTCAAACCCCTTTGGAAATGCATGTTTAGTTAATACACTAGTTCTTAATTATTTTATGTCACTCCAACTCCATCCCCAATCTCTGTGGCAGGACCCCCACCCTAAAACTTGCTGATTACTTCGACCTGATCATTATAAAAGTAGCTCACGGGAGAATTTGAGGTCTCCCTCTTAAAAGCCATGTTGAGTACCCAAGCCCATAATCACATAACATTTGAGTAGAATGTCAAGCTAAGCTCTTATAGCTGATGGGGTTTTTTTTTTTCAGACTCACTTGCATCATCAATAATCTTGAAATCCGATAGTCCTACTGGTACATATACTGATATATTATCAAGGTGGACTTGTAATCGTTTTCTATTCATCAATTTTCACGCTTACTGGGCTAGGAAGGAAAACCTATTAGCACATTAACCCCCCAAAGCATTTTCATCACCAGCCGCCACCATGGTCTTTTCCTAGTTTCTAACTGTGTTTAAACAAAATCCAAAGTCATCAATTGCAGTGCCTCGTCCCTTTCCTCTCTCTGCTCTAGTAACTGTATCTACCTTTAAAAGGTTCTTCTCTGCCTCATTTAACAGACTGTTGCTTAATCTGTGCACCGCCAAAATCTAGTGACTGGAAGCTTTTTTAGTATACAGGCAAGAAAAAAGATAGTAGCAATGATGGGTACACCATTCCATGTTTTGGCAGTAGTTTTCACCCTCACTTGCATTCTGTATCTCTTTTTCCCAAGCGGTCAAGCTAAAACTTACAGTACTTTGAGGATTCAAAGCAATATTTTTAAGTTTCTTGATGCATCTAAATAGAAAAATAATAAAAGTGCAAAATGTTAATGACACAATTAAGAAAAGAGTTTGCACACATCTCCATGGCAAAACAAAAGGAAAACAATGATGTTTAACTACACTTACTGCCATACTTAAAAAAAGCAAACAAAAACAAAACCCTCCATGATCCAGAATACTTTCAGGCAGAAATTTGTTGATGCTAACAAACAGGGATTTTATTGCCTTTATTTAAATGTAGTTTGAACTTTTGATCATTTTAAATTATTATTATTATTATTATTATTATTATTATTAGTAGTAGTAGTAGTACTAGTAGTAGTAGTTGTTGTTGTTGTAGCAGTAATAGTAAAAGTATTATTATTAAAGCACTATTCTTCAGTTTTGCCACATAAACAGAACAGAACATTGAAAATGTAGCAGTAAATTTAACGTGGACATGACAAATTATTTGCTATAATTGAAAGCACAACACATTTTTGTCACATGCATTATAAACTAATTGTTTTTCTTCCTGTTCTGCAGCTTACACCAATATTCTTCAGACAATTAAAGATTTTTTTCACTCTGAGAGTAGCCCATTTCAGGTATGTATTATAAAGAACTCTGTCACAATGTTAAGATTATCAGTCGTTATTTACATCTTCCCTTCCTTTTTGCAGACCTGGGTCAGTCGTGAACACTGTGGACCTAACTTTTAATTCAACAGCTGTTCCAAATGACACAGCAATCGTAAATGCGTTGGTCAGCGAAGCTTCAACCATCACCAACTTCACCATTGACACGACCAACATTACTGTGGAAATCCTAGGTATGAAAAATAAATAGAAAAATGGCTTTCGTGGAAAACTGCATCGATTTACAAAATAACCATATAGATTTGTTTCAAAAACACAATCTTCAATGACGTGTTATGAACACTGATTTAAGTTTAAAAGAAATAATCAGCTTTTGTCTTATTTCTTTCAATTTTTGTTGTTACCTAGTAAGTAGAAGATTTAACCTAACTATTAAATTTGCTACTGCAGCCCCAAAAACTACAACATTTGCTCCAACCACATCCACACCAGCCATAACTACAACCAAAGCAGCTCTAACCACAACAGCAGCACCAACAACAACCACAGCTGCCCCCACAACAACCAAAGCTGCCCCAACAACAACCACAGCTGCTCTAACAACAACCACAGCTGCTCCAACAACAACCACAGCTGCACCAATAACAACCACAGCTTTACCAACATCAACCACAGCTTCACCAACAACAACCACAGCTGCTTCAACAACAACCACAGCTGCCCCAGCTACAACCACAGCTGCTCCAACATCAACCACAACTGCACCAACAACCAAAGCTGCTTCAACTACAACCACAGCTGCCCCAGCTACAACCACAGCTGCCCCAGCTACAACCACAGCTGCACCAACAACAACCACAGCTGCACCAACAACAACCACAGCTGCCCCAGCTACAACCACAGCTGCTCCAACATCAACCACAACTGCACCAACAACCACAGCTAATTCAACTACAACCACAGCTGCCCCAGCTACAACCACAGCTGCACCAACAACAACCACAGCTGCACCAACAACAACCACAGCTGCTCCAACAACAACCACAGCTGCACCAACAACAACCACAGCTGCTTCAACAACAACCACAGCTGCACCAACAACAACCACAGCTGCACCAACAACAACCACAGCTGCCCCAGCTACAACCACAGCTGCTCCAACATCAACCACAACTGCACCAACAACCACAGCTAATTCAACTACAACCACAGCTGCCCCAGCTACAACCACAGCTGCACCAACAACAACCACAGCTGCACCAACAACAACAACAGCTGCTCCAACAACAACCACAGCTGCACCAACAACAACCACAGCTGCTTCAACAACAACCACAGCTGCACCAACAACAACCACAGCTGCACCAACAACAACCACAGCTGCACCAACAACAACCACAGCTGCCCCAGCTACAACCACAGCTGCTCCAACATCAACCACAGCTGCACCAACAACAACCACAGCTGCACCAACAACAACCACAACTGCTCCAACAACAACCACAGCCGCACCAACAACAACCACAGTTGCTTCAATAACAACCACAGCTGCCCCAACATCAACCACAGCTGCACCAACAACAACCACAGCTGCTCCAACAACAACCACAGCTGCACCAACATCAACCACAGCTGCACCAACAACAACCACAGCTGCCCCAACAACAACCACAGCTGCACCAACAACCACAGCCGCTCCAACATCAACCACAGCTGCTTCAACAACAACCACAGCTGCCCCAACAACAACCACAGCTGCACCAACAACAACAAACATAGCTTCACCAACAACAACCACAGCTGCCCCAACAACAACCACAGCTGCACCAACAACAACTACAGCTGCTCCAACAACAACCACAGCTGCCCCAACAACAACCACAGCTGTCCCAACAACAACCACAGCTGTCCCAACAACAACCACAGCTGCTCCAATCACAACCACAGCTGCTCCAACAACAACCACAGCTGCTCCAACAACAACCACAGCTGCTCCAATCACAACCACAGCTGCTTCAACAACAACCACAGCTGCAGCAACAACAACCACAGCTTCCCCAACAACAACCACTGCTGCTCCAAAAACAACCACAGCTGCCCAAACAACAACCACAGCTGCTCCAATCACATCCACAGCTGCTCCAATCACAACCACAGCTGCTTCAACAACACCCACAGCTGCACCAACAACAACCACAGCTGCCCCAACAACAACCACTGCTGCTCCAAAAACAGCCACAGCTGCCCCAACAACAACCACAGCTGCACCAACAACAACCACAGCTGCACCAACAACAACAACAGCTGCCCCAACAACAGCCACAGCTGCACCGACAACAACCTCAGCTGCTCCAACAACAACCACAGCTGCCCCAACAACAACCACAGCTTCCCCAACAACAACCACAGCTTCCCCAAAAACAACCACAGCTGCTCCAACAACAACCACAGCTGCCCCAACAACAACAACCACAGCTGCTTCAACAACAACCACAACTGCACCAACAACAACCACAGCTGCACCAAAAACAACAACAGCTGCCCCAGCTACAACCACAGCTGCACCAACAACAACCACAGCTGCACCAACAACAACCACAGCTGCTCCAACAACAACCACAGCTGCACCAACAACAACCACAGCTGCCCCAGCTACAACCACAGCTGCTCCAACATCAACCACAACTGCACCAACAACCACAGCTGCTTCAACTACAACCACAGCTGCCCCAGCTACAACCACAGCTGCCCCAACAACATCCACAGCTGCACCAACAACAACCACAGCTGCTCCAACAACAACCACAGCTGCACCAACAACAACCACAGCTGCTTCAACAACAACCACAGCTGCACCAACAACAACCCCAGCTACAACCACAGCTGCTCCAACATCAACCACAGCTGCACCAACAACAACCACAGCTGCACCAACAACAACCACAGCTGCTCCAACAACAACCACAGCTGCACCAACAACAACCACAGCTGCACCAACAACAACCACAGTTGCTTCAACAACAACCACAGCTGCCCCAACAACAACCACAGCTGCACCAACAACCACAGCCGCTCCAACATCAACCACTGCTGCACCAACAACAACCACAGCTGCTCCAACAACAACCACAGCTGCACCAACAACAACCACAGCTGCACCAACAACAACCACAGTTGCTTCAACAACAACCACAGCTGCCCCAACAACAACCACAGCTGCACCAACAACCACAGCCGCTCCAACATCAACCACAGCTGCACCAACAACAACCACAGCTGCACCAACAACAACCACAGCTGCACCAACAACAACAAACATAGCTGCACCAACAACAACCACAGCTGCCCCAACAACAACAACAGCTGCCCCAACAACAGCCACAGCTGCCCCAACAACAGCCACAGCTGCACCAACAACAACCACAGTTGCTTCAACAACAACCACAGCTGCCCCAACAAGAACCACAGCTGCACCAACAACCACAGCCGCTCCAACATCAACCACAGCTGCTTCAACAACAACCACAGCTGCACCAACAACAACCACAGCTGCACCAACAACAACAAACATAGCTGCACCAACAACAACCACAGCTGCCCCAACAACAACAACAGCTGCCCCAACAACAGCCACAGCTGCCCCAACAACAGCCACAGCTGCACCGACAACAACCTCAGCTGCTCCAACAACAACCACAGCTGCCCCAACAACAAACACAGCTTCCCCAACAACAACCACAGCTTCCCCAAAAACAACCACAGCTGCTCCAACAACAACCACAGCTGCCCCAACAACAACAACCACAGCTGCTTCAACAACAACCACAACTGCACCAACAACAACCACAGCTGCACCAAAAACAACAACAGCTGCCCCAACAACAACCACAGCTGCCCCAACAACAACAACCACAGCTGCTTCAACAACAACCACAACTGCACCAACAACAACCACAGCTGCACCAAAAACAACAACAGCTGCCCCAACAACAGCCACACCTGCACCGACAACAACCACAGCTGCTCCAACAACAACCACAGCTGCCCCAACAACAACCACAGCTGCACCAAAAACAACCACAGCTGCTCCAACAACAACCACAGCTGACCCAACAACAACAACCACAGCTGCTTCAACAACAACCACAACTGCACCAACAACAACCACAGCTGCACCAAAAACAACGACAGCTGCTCCAACAAAAACCACAGCTGCCCCAACAACAACAACCACAGATGCTCCAACATCAACCACAGCTATTCTAACTACAACCACAGTTGCTCCAACAATAACCACAGCTTCCCCAACAACAACCACAGCTGCTCCAACAACAACCACAGCTGCCCCAACAACAACCACAGCTGCTCCAACAACCACCGCTGCTCCATCAACAACCACAGCTGCCCCAACAACAACCACAGCTGCCCCAACAACAACCACAGTTGCCCCAACAACTACAGCTGCTCCAACCACACCAGCCATAATAACAACCACAGCTGCCCCAACAGCGACCAGGACTGCCCCATCAATTCAAATTCCAACAACAAGGCGGCTTACATTTAGATCTACAGATTCTCCATTTTCTGACGATTTGCTTAATCCAAACAGCAGCCTCTTTAAAGCACGGGAGTTCCTAATAAAAGAAATTGTAAGTATTTCTCTTTAAAATATCTTCCAAAATTTTAGAGCATTTTCTAAAGAAAATAAGATACATGTTTACATCAGAATAATTAACACATTTTTTTCTTGGAAAATGATTCACATTTTCAAAAATGTAAACTTTTGTAATTAAGTATTTACAAGCAGATGCATGTTCTGATTGGAAAACAACTACTGGAAAAGGACTGCATGGTCGTTTAGTTTTTCATTGCAGCTCAAAGAAAGCAGGTTTCTCTTGGCATGGTTTGCATGTTTTCCTGATGCATGCATGCATTGTCTCTGCATATTCTGGTTAATGTCCACACACATGCATGTTTGGTTAATTCTGTAGTTCTCAGTATGTCACCCCCACTTAACCCCCAACCCCCTGTGGTAGGAAGGGAAGCCTGTTATTATAATTAGCACCATGGTCATAATTTTGGGTGGGGACAGGGGGGAGATGCCCCCCCCCCCCCCACACACACACACACTTTTTCCAAAGTCATGTTTTGACCCCTGCACTTTTTACCATCCAAAAACAATATTACACTATATTAAATTGACACTGGTTGAGCTCTAGGACCAAGCGGAAAACAACAGTTTGTGTTGAAGCCTGTTTCCCATTAGAGCATAATGTAAAGATCCCCCCCCTTCTAAAGTGAAAATTATGTCCATGATTAGCCCCAAAAAGCTTTTTCTTCATCCAGCTGCCACCATGGCCTTTACAGAGTTTCTGACTGTATTTATGCAAAATCCAAGCTATGCAGCCTTTATAGAATTGCCTGGTCTCTTTTGGTTGACTACCATCAATTACTGTGGTGCCTTAGCCCTTTCCTCTTTCTGCTCTTCTAACTGTATCTGTCTTTATAGGCTTCTTCTCTGCCTCAATTAACAGGCAGACTGTTGATTAGTCTGTGCACTGCCAAAACCCAGTGAGTTTTTTGGTGTTCAAGCATGAAAAAAGTCAGTAATAATAACTGGTCCTCATGCCTCTTGCACTCCATTAACTCCCCACTGTGCCCTCCCCTAATTGAGAAGCACCGGGTTATTTGGTGACTGTGTATGAAACCGGTTGTTTCTCTGTTGTCCAGCTCATATCTGCCAACTTATATGAGATGTTACCTGCCTCTTGCCAAATGACTGCTGTTAGTAAACAGAAGCTTTCCTGTGACCCTAGTAAAGAGTTTAGGAAAATACTGACAAAATCCATGACTGAGAACAGTTTAATTCATTTTCTTTTATTTTTTTGATGGGTAGACATTCTATTTGTTTTCATCCATCCTTGTATTTTTTAGCCTCGCTTGCATTCTGAATCACTTTTTCTCAAGCAATGTACCCCAACATTACTGAACTTTGTTTGATGAATCGAATTATTGCTATTTTTTGTGTTGATGCCTCTAAATAGAAAAGTAAGCAAAGCACAAAATGTTAATGTCACTATCAAGAAAATGGTTAGCACATGTTTTCCAAGGCAAAAGTAAGAAAAAAATGTGTGTAACTAAATTTTACTGCCATGCATAACAAAACCCTTTCCTGAATACATTCAGGTGGAAGTTATCAGATTGTAATAAACAAGGCTTTATTGCTTTTCTTCGTTCTTTTCTTTTAATAAAATTTACTGTATAAAAATTTTTAATCTAAAATTTATTTTGATCATTTATTATTATTATTATTATTAATAAAGTAATTGACTGCATTTTTACATTTATACTGCTTCAGTTTTGCTGGTCAAACTTTAATAATTCTTTTAAGTTTTTAATTTCACTGATTCTTGCTTATATTCTTAAAAATACATTTAATGTGAACATGACATTTTTTCTATAATGTTTTAAAGGACAACAAATTTTCGACATATGCAAAGTAAATTATTTGTCTTTCTTCTTGTTCTGCAGCTTACGCCAATATTCTCCAGAAAATTTAAATATTTCTTCTCTCTGATAGTAGTTTCTTTCAGGTAAGTGTTTAGAGACGTATTTCACATTGTTGAGATTCTCTATCATTATTTGTTCAAATAGAATTGACTTGTCTTTTCTTATTTTTTGCAGATCTGGGTCAGTCATGAACACTGTGGACCTAACTTTTGATACAACAGGTGTTCCAAATGACACAGCGATAGCAGATCTATTGGTCAGCGAAGCTTCCACCATTACCAACTTCACCATTGACACGTCCAACATTACTGTGGAAAACCCAGGTATGAAAAAAATAAAAATAAATTATGACTATTGGGGAAAACTGAATCAATTTTAAAAATAACTAGATGGATACATGGATAGATTTATCTAGATTGTCTTTGAAATATCTCTTAATTTTGCCAAAGCAGCTCCAACCACAACCACATCTGCACCAACAACAACAGCTGCTCCAACAACAACCACAGCTGCACCAACAACAACCACAGTTGCTCCAACAACAGCCGCAGCTGCACCAACAACAACCGCACAAGTTCCATCTACAACCACCACGGCTCCAACAACAACCACAGCAACTCCAACCACAGCAGATACAACATCAACCTCAGCTGCTCCAACAACAACCACAGCTGCTCAAACAACAACCACAGCTGCTCCAACTAGAACCTCCACTGCTCCAACAACAGCCACAGCAAGTCCACCCACAACCACAGCAGCTGAAACATCAACCACAGCTGCTCCAAGAACAACCACAGCTGCCCCAACAAGAACCACAGCTGAACCAACAACAACCACAGCTGCCCCAACAACAACCACAGCCGCCTCAACAACCACAGCTGCCCCAACAACAACCACAACTGCTCGAACAACAACAACAGCTGCTGCAACCACAACCACAGAAGCTCCATCTACAACCACCATGGACCCAACGACAACCACAGCCGTCCCAACAACAACCACAGCTGCCTCAACAACCACAGCTGCCCCAACAACAACCACAACTGCTCGAACAACAACAACAGCTGCTCCAACAACAACCACAGCCACCCCAACAACAACCACAGCCGCCCCAACAACAACCACAGCTGCCCCAACAACAACTACCGCTGCTCCAACAACAACCACAGCTGCCCAAACAACAACCACAGCTGCCCCAACAACAACCACAGCTGCCCCAACATCAACCACAGCCTCCCCAACAACAACTACAAGTGCTCCAACAACAACCACCGCTGCTCCAACTACAACAAAAGTTGCTCCAACAACAACCACGGCAGCTCCATCTACAACCACAGCCGCCCCAACAACAACCACAGCCGCCCCAGCAACAACTACAAGTGCTCCAACAACAACCACAGCTACTCCAACTACAACCTCCACTGCTCCAAGAACAACCACAGCTACCCCAACAACAACCACAGCTGAACCAACAACAACCACAGCTGCCCCAACAACAACCACAACTGCTCAAACAACAACAGCAGCTGCTGCAACCACAACCACAGAAGCTCCATCCACAACAACAGCTGCTCCAACAGCAACCACAGCCGCCCCAACAACAACCACAGCAGCCCCAACAACAACCACAGCTGCCCCAACAACAACTACAAGTGCTCCAACAACAACCACAGCCGCCCCAACAACAACCACAGCTGCCCCAACAACAACTACCGCTGCTCCAACAACAACCACAGCCGCCCCAACAACAGCCACAGCCGCCCCAACAACAACCACAGCCGCCCCAACAACAACTACAAGTGCTCCAACAACAACCACAGCTGCCCCAACAACAACCACAGCCACCCCAACAACAACCACAGCTGCCCCATCAACAACTACCGCTGCTCCAACAACAACCTCAGCCGCACCAACAACAACCACAGCCGCTCCAACAACAACCACAGCCGCCCCAACAACAACCACAGCTGCCCCAACAACAACTACCGCTGCTCCAACAACAACCACAGCCGCCCCAACAACAACCACAGCTGCCCCAACAACAACTACCGCTGCTCCAACAACAACCACAGCTGCCCCAACAACAACTACAAGTGCTCCAACAACAACCACAGCCGCCCCAACAACTACAAGTGCTCCAACAACAACCACAGCCGCACCAACAACAACTACCACGGCTCCAACAACAACCACAGCTTCTCCAGCTACAACAACAGCTGCGCCAACAACAACCACAGCCGCCCCAACATACACCACAGCCGCCTCAACAACCACAGCTGCCCCAACAACAACTACAAGTGCTCCAACAACAACCACACCCGCCCCAACAACAACCACAGCTGCCCCAACAACAACTACCGCTGCTCCAACAAAAACCACAGCTGCCCCAACAACAACTACCGCTGCTCCAACAACAACCACAGCTGCCCAAACAACAACCACACCTGCCCCAACAACAACCACAGCTGCCCCAACAACAACTACCGCTGCTCCAACAACAACCACAGCTGCCCAAACTACAACCACAGCTGCCCAAACAACAACCACACCTGCCCCAACAACAACCACAGCCGCCCCAAAAACAACTACAGGTGCTCCAACAACAACCACCGCTGCTCCAACTACAACAACAGCTGCTCCAACAACAACCACGGCAGCTCCATCTACAACCACAGCTGCCCCAACAAGAACTACCGCTGCTCCAACAACAACCAGAGCTGCTCCAGCTACAACAACAGCTGCTCAAACAACAACCACAGCCGCCCCAACAACCACAGCTGCCCCAACAACAACCACAGCCACCTCAACAACAACTAAAAGTGTTCCAACAACAACCACAGCCGCCCCGACAACAACCACAGCTGCCCCAACAACCACCACTGCCGCCCCACCAACAACCACAGCTGCCCCAACAACAACCACAGCTGCCCCAACAACAACCACAGCTGCCTCAACAACAACCACAGCTGCCCCAACAGCAAATACAAGTGCTCCAACAACAACCACAGCTGCCCCAACAATTACCACAGCTGCCCCAACAACAACTACAAGTGCTCCAACAACAACAACCACAGCAACTCCAACAACCACGGCAGCTCCATCTACAACCCCAGCTATCCAAACAACAATAACCACAGCAACTCCAACAACAAACACAGCAGCTCCTACAACAACGACAGCTGCTCCAACAACAACCACAGCAGCTCCAGCTACAACCACAGCTGCCCCAACAACAACCACAGCTGCCCCAACAACAACCACAACTGCTCAAACAACAACAACAGCTGCTGCAACCACAACCACAGAAGCTCCATCTACAACCACCACGGCTCCAACAACAACCACAGCTGCTCCAGCTATAACAACAGCTGCCCCAACAACAACTACATCGTTTCCAACAACAACCGCAGCTGCTCCAACAACAACCACAGCTGCCCCAACAACAACTACAGCTGCCCCAACAACAACCACAGCTGCTCCAACAACAACCACAGCAGCTACAACAACAACCGCAGCTGCTCCAACAACAACCACAGCTGCTCCAAAAACAACCACAGATTCTCAAACAACAACCACAGAAGCTCCATCTACAACCACCTCTGCTCCAACAACCACAGCTGCCCCAACAACAGCCACACCTGCCCCAACAACAACTACAACTGCCCCAACAACAACCACAGCTGCTCCAACAGCCACCACATCTCCCCCAACAACCACAGCAACTTCAACAATAACCACAACTGCCCCAACAACCACACCTCCCCCAACAACAACTACAACTCCCGCAACAACAACCACAGCAACTCCAACAATAACCCCAGTTGCCCCAACAACAACAACTACAGCTGCTTCAACTACAACCACAGCAGCACCAACAACTCCATCTGCCACAACAACCACAGTTATGACCACGAGAACTCAAAACATTCAAGATGTCAAAGTAACAAGGCGAATTACTTTTAGAACTACAGACACAGCTTTTTCCAACAATTTGCTTCTTTCAACCAGCGACAGCTTTAAAGCACGAGTTAACCTCATAGAAATATTAGTAAGTAATTTTCTTTTACCCTTTACCTAACATTCTACAAAATATTTTTTTAAACTGAATTTTTTTCTTTTGACATTAGAAGATGCCCCTGTATGTTATCCAGGAAAATCAAGACAATGAACATTTGATTGTGTCATATCAATTTTCTCAGACGCTTGCAAAAACTTTTTGGGGGAAAAAAACAAACAACCGGAAATGGCCTTCATTGGGGATTAGTTAGTATTATTGTTACCAAACAGTTCGAAGGATGCAGACTTGAATTTCGGCTTCAACTATTGTTTGTTTTGGGTTTACTCTCAGTATTCTGGTGTAGCGTAATGGTTCTTAACCCCCACAGGCCAACCACATGCATTTTAATTTTGTGAGTGAGTTTGTAACTGGTTATAAATTCCAGTAAGGCCCTGGTTTTGTCTGGAAACCCATACAGGGAGTCCCTTATCTCTCACTTGATGTCTGCTGGAGTGAAGTATCAGCTTTCATGTAATCCCATTTAAGATTAAGCAGGTCAAAAGATGAGTGATTTAACCCTCCCACTGTCCTCATGGGTGACCCCGCCAAGAAAGTTGACCATTGAGCTGAGTTGATGGTTTATCCCTTGAGGTCCACATGGCAGGAATGAGGTGGTGCTCACCCATGCCACGTGGACCTCAAGGGATAAACCATCAATCCTGCTCAATGGTCAACCTTCCTGGCGGGGTCACCCATGAGGACAGTGGGAGGGTTAAACAAAATGCCAACAAAGACATGGCTGAAAAATGTTTCAGTCATAATTTATTTATATCATCACAGGTGCACAAATCTGTTTATTCTCATACATGTTTAAGTATTATTCTCTCATTCATCTTCTGTAATGTTTTCCCACATTCATCCAGTCCAATCAGACAGTACAGTATTGGTGATTAAAATATGTTTTTTTAAGTTGATTGATGCCTCTGTATAGGAAAGTGAGAAAAGCACAATTTTTAAAACTGAATCAGGTCATTTGCCCAAATTTTCCAAGGCAATACTACAGAAAAAACTCGTCTTGAATTTTAAATCTAAAATCTTGTCTACTTCATGAAAACAAAACACTTCTCCAAAACCCTGAGTACCTTCAGGAAAAAAATTGTTTCAGATCAGAAGAAGGAGGTTTCATGGCAAATAGTTAACTTTTGGTGGGTTTTTACCATATACACTTGCTAAGTTTCTTTTGATTATTCAAATTCCTGTTTCAAATCGTAGAAGTTAATTTTAAATGACTGTGTATAAAACAAAATATTAGCTAAAATGTTTTAGATGAAAAACTCTTTTTTGACATTTATATTTTATCTATTGTAATTTTTCTTGTTTTTCTACAGCTCACGCCAATATTCAACAGACAATATCCCTTTTTCTACAGTTTCGTAGTGATTTATTTCAGGTAATTCCTAAGTCATTGAAATTGTATTTTTTGCTAAGGAATTATTTGTTATGAATTTTAAAATTGTATCTTAAATTCCTGTTTGCAGGCCTGGATCAATCATGAACACAGGGGACATAACTTTTAATTCAACAGGGGTTCCAAGTGACACTGAGATTATGAATCTGTTGGTCATGGAAGCTCCAAGAATCAACAACTTCACAATTGATACTTCCAATATCACTTTGGAAGACCCAAGTAAGCAAAACACTTAAACATTGGTTATTGTAAATGTTTTGATTAGTTACAAAATAAACTAAAAGAATAAAGGTTACATTAAATTTTTGTAAAAAAAAAAACAATTGAAATAAGAAATGTCAATGGCATGATACTAAGATGGATTTTATATTCAAAATAATAAAACACAGTTCATGATTAGGAAGTAACTTACCAAAAACTATTTAAGGTAAGAAATGTTTTAAAAGAGATTTCTTTCATTGGGACAAATCTAACTTCATTCCTAACTTTATGACTGCAGCACCAATAATTACCACTACTGCTCCAACAACAACCACAGCTGCTCCAACAACAACCACACTAGCTCCAACAACAACCACAGCTGCTCCAACAATGACCACAGCTGCAACAACAACATCCACAGCTGCTCCAACAACAACCACAAAAGCCCCAACAACAACCACAGAAGCCCCAACGACAACCACAGCTGCTCCAACAACATCCACAGCTGCTCCAACAACAACCACAGCTGCTCCAACAACATCCACAGCTGCCCCAAAAACATCTACAGCTGCTCCAACAATATCCACAGCTGCTCCAACAACAACCACAGCTGCTCCAACAACATCCACAGCTGCTCCAACAACAACCACAGCCTCCCCAACAACAACCACAGCTGCCCCAACAACAACCACAGCTGCCCCAACAACATCTACAGCTGCCCCAACAACATCTACAGCTGCTCCAACAACATCTACAGCTGCTCCAACAACATCTACAGCTGCTCCAACAACAACCACAGCCGCCCCAACAACAACTACAGCTGCCCCAACAACATCTACAGCTGCTCCAACAACAACCACAGCTGCTCCAACAACATCCACAGCTTCTCCGACGACAACCACAGCTGCTCCAACAACATCCACAGCTGCTCCAACGACAACCACAGCTGCTCCAAAAACAATCACAGAAGCCCCAACAACAACCACAGCTGCTGTAACAACATCCACAGCTGCTCCAACAACATCCACAGCTGCTCCAACAACATCCACAGCTGCTCCAACAACAACCACAGCTGCTCCAACAACATCCACAGCTTCTCCGACGACAACCACAGCTGCTGTAACAACATCCACTGTTGCTCCAACAACATCCACAGCTGCTCCAACAACAACCACAGCTGCTCCAACAACATCCACAGCTTCTCCGACGACAACCACAGCTGCTCCAACAACATCCACAGCTGCTCCAACGACAACCACAGCTGCTCCAAAAACAATCACAGAAGCCCCAACAACAACCACAGCTGCTGTAACAACATCCACAGCTGCTCCAACAACATCCACAGAAGCCCCAAAAACAACCACAGCTGCTCCAACAACAACCACAGAAACCATAACAACAACCACAGAAGCCCCAACAACAACCACTGAAGCCCCAACAACAACCACAGCCGCCCCAACAAAAACCACAGCTGCTGTAACAACATCCACCGCTGCTCCAACAACAAACACAGCCGCCCCAACAAAAACCACAGCTGCTGTAACAACATCCACCGCTGCTCCGACAACAACCACAGCCGCCCCAACAACAACCAGAGCTGCTCCAACAACAACCACAGCCGCCCCAACAACAACCACAGCCGCCCCAACAACAACCACAGATGCTCCAACAACAACCACAGAAGCCATAACAACAACCACAGAAGCCCCAACAACAACCACAGCTGCTGTAACAACATCCACAGCTGCTCCAACAACAACCACAGAAGCCCCAACAACAACCACAGCTGCTGTAACAACATCCACAGTAGCTCCAACAACATCCACAGTAGCTCCAACAACATCCACCACTGCTCCAACAACAACCACAGCCACCCCAACAACAACCACAAACGCCCCAACAACAACCACAGCCGCCCCAACAGCAACCACAGCTGCCCCAACAGCAACCAGAGCTGCCCCAACAACAACCACAGCTGCCCCATCAACATCTACAGCTGCTCCAACAACATCTACAACTGCTCCAACAACAACCACTGAAGCCCTAACAACAACCACAGCTGCTCCAACAACAACCACAGAAGCCCCAACAACAACCACAGCTGCTGTAACAACATCCACCGCTGCTCCATCAACAACCACTGAAGCCCCAACAACAACCACAGCCGCCCCAACAACAACCACAGCTGCCCCAACAACAACCACAGCTGCCCCAACAACATCTACAGCTGCCCCAACAACATCTACAGCTGCTCCAACAACATCCACCGCTGCTCCAACAACAACCACTGAAGCCCCAACAACAACCACAGCCGCCCCAACAACAACCACAGCTGCCCCAACAACAACCACAGCTACCCCAACAACAACCACAGCTGCCCCAACAACATCTACAGCTGCTCCAACAACATCCACCACTGCTCCAACAACAACCACTGAAGCCCCAACAACAACCACAGCTGCGCCAACAACAACCACAGCCGCCCCAACAACAACCACAGGTGCTCCAACAACAACCACAGCTGCTCCAACAACAATCACAGAAGCCTCAACAACAACCACATCTGCTGTAACAACATCCACAGCTGCTCCAACAACATCCACAGAAGCCCCAACAACAACCACAGCTGCTGTAACAACATCCACAGTAATTCCAACAACATCCACCACTGCTCCAACAACAACCACTGAAGCCCCAACAACAACCACAGCTGCTCCAACAACAACCACAGCTGCCCCAACAACAACCACAGCTGCCCCAACAACAACCACAGCTGCTGTAACAACATCCACAGCTGCTTCAACAACATACACAGCTGCTTCAACAACATTCACAGCTGCTCCAACAACAACCATAGCTGCTCCAACAACAACCACAGAAGCCCCAACAACAACCACAGCAGCTGTAACAACATCCACCGCTGCTCCGACAACAACCACAGCCGCCCCAACAACAACCACAGCTGCTGTAACAACATCCACAGCTGCTTCAACAACATCCACAGCTGCTTCAACAACATTCACAGCTGCTCCAACAACAACCACAGAAGCCCCAACAACAACCACAGCAGCTGTAACAACATCCACAGTAGCGCCAACAACATCCACCGCTGCTCCGACAACAACCACTGCCGCCCCAACAACAACCACAGCTGCCCCAACAACAACCACAGCTGCCTCAACAACCACAGCTGCCCAAACAACAACCACAGCCGCCCCAACAACAACCACAGCTGCTCCAACAACAACCACAGAAGCCATACCAACAACCACAGAAGCCCCAACAACTACAGCTGCTGTAACAACATCCACAGCTCTTCCAACAACATCCACAGCTGCTCCAACAACAACCACAGAAGCCCCAACAACAACCACAGCTGCTGTAACAACATCCACAGTAGCTCCAACAACATCCACCACTGCTCCAACAACAACCACAGCCGCCCCAACAACAACCACAGCCGCCCCAACAACAACCACAGCTGCTCCAACAACAACAATCACAGCCGCCCCAACAACAACCACAGCTGCCCCAACAACAACCACAGCTGCCCCAACAACATCTACAGCTGCTCCAACAACAACCACTGAAGCCCCAACAACAACCACAGCTTCTCCAACAACAACCACAGAAGCCCCAACAACAACCACAGCTGCTGTAACAACATCCACCGCTGCTCCAACAACAACCACTGAAGCCCCAACAACAACCACAGCTGCTCCAACAACAACCACAGCCGCCCCAACAACAACCACAGCTGCCCCAACAACAACCACAGCTGCCCCAACAACAACCACAGCTGCCCCAACAACAACCACAGCTGCCCCAACAACAACTACAGCAGCCCCAACAACAACTACAGCTGCCCCAACAACATCTACAGCTGCTCCAACAACAACCACAGCTGCCCCAACAACATCTACAGCTGCTCCAACAACAACCACTGAAGCCCCAACAACAACCACAGCTTCTCCAACAACAACCACAGAAGCCCCAACAACAACCACAGCTGCTGTAACAACATCCACCGCTGCTCCAACAACAACCACTGAAGCCCCAACAACAACCACAGCTGCTCCAACAACAACCACAGCTGCCCCAACAACAACCACAGCTGCCCCAACAACAACCACAGCTGCCCCAACAACAACTACAGCTGCCCCAACAACATCTACAGCTGCTCCAACAACATCTACAGCTGCTCCAACAACCACCGCTGCTCCAACAACAACCACTGAAGCCCCAACAACAACGACAGCCACCCCAACAACAACGACAGCCACCCCAACAACAACCACAGCTGCCCCAACAACAACCACAGCTGCCCCAACAACAACCACAGCTTCTCCAACAACATCTACAGCTGCCCCAACAACAACCACAGCTGCTGTAACAACAACCACTGCAGCCCCAGTAACAACCACAGTTATGACCACCTTAACTCAAAACATTCAAAATGTCAAAGTAACAAGGCGGCTTACTTTTAGAACTACAGACACAGCCTTTTCTGACAATTTGCTTCTTTCAACCAGTGACAACTTTAAAGCACGAGTTAACCTCATAGAAATAGTAGTAAGTAATTTTATTTTATCCTTTACCTGAAATTCTACAAATTACATTTTTTTCAACGGAAAAAATGTTGTTTTTTTTTTACATTAGAATAAATACCCCTGTATGTTATTCAGGAAAGTTAATATGTAGAAAATGTTCTTTAAGCATGACATTCTCAGATGCTTGCAACAACAATAACAAAAATAAAAAATAAAAATACTGGAAATGGAATTCATGGTGGTTCAGCTAGTATCAATTTTACCTACCAATAAGAAGAATGAAGGTTTTATTTTACTCTCTGTATTCTGGTTTACTACCACAGACCAGTCACATGCATTTTAATTTTGTGAGTGAGTTATAACTGGTTATTAATTCCTTTTTAGCCCTGTTTTTGTCTGGCAACATATGTAGGGTGTCCCTTATCTCTCACTTGATGTCTGTTGGAGTTAAGTTTCAGCTTACATGTAACCCTATTTAAGATGAAGCAAGCCAAAAGATGAGTGAGGCAAACAAAATACTGAGAATAACATCATTGAAAAATGTTTCAGTCATAATTTATTTATGTCACCACAATTGCACACATCTGTTTTTTCTCATACATGTAATTTTCTCTCATTCATCCTCCATTACGTTTTCCCACATTCATCCAGTCCAATCAAACAGTATATTTGTTGTCGATTCAAATATACTGTTTTAAGTTTATTGATGCTTCTATATAGAAAACTAAGAAAAGTATCATTTTTATGACTGAATCACGCCGTTTGCCCACATTTTCCAAGGCAAAACTACAGAAAAAACTTGACTTAAATTTAAAATCTAAAATCTTATCTACTTCTATGAAAAAAAATACTCCTCCACAACCCTGAGTAGTTTCAGGTAAAAACAAACAAACTTTCAGATCAGAATAAAAAGGATTTTTTTTTCATGGCAAATAGTTAACTTTTGATGGGTTTTTACCACATAAACTTCCAAGTGCTAAATTTATTTTCATTATTCAAATTCCTGTTTCAAATTATATAAAAAAATTTTAAATGGCTGTGCATAAAACAAAATTTTTGCTAAAATGTTTTTAAGCAAAAAACAATTTTTGACAATTATATTTAATCTATTGTCATTTTTTCTTGTTCTTTCACAGCTCACGCCAAGATTTGCAAGACAATTTCACTTTTTCTACAGTTTCATAGTTATTTATTTCAGGTAATTTATTTAACAAATCAGTGTAACGTAATTATTCCTATGCAATTTTTTATTTTAAATTGTATTTGTTTTTCTTACATTCCTGTTTGCAGGCCTGGGTCAATCATGAACACTGCAGACGTAACTTTTAATTCAACAGAGGTTCCAAGTGACACTGATATTATAAATCTGTTGGCCATGGAAGCTCCAACAATCAACAACTTCACAATTGACACTTCCAATATCACTGTGGAAGACCCAAGTAAGCAAAGCACTTAAACATTGGTTACGGGAAATGCTTTAATTAGTTGCAAAAAATAAAAAATAAAACAGAAAGCACTAATGTTACATTACAACCTTATAAACACTAATTTAAAAGTTGAAATTTCAAAGGCATGATACCAAGATGGATTTTATGTTCAAAATAATAAAACACAGTTCATGAATAGGAAGTAACTTACCAAAAATTAATGAAGGTAAGAAATGTTTTTAACGAGATTTCTTTCATTGGGAAAAATCTAATGTCACTCCTAAATTTATGACTGCAGCACCAATAATTACCACCACTGCTCCAACAACAACCACAGCTGCTCCAACAATCTCCACAGCTGCACCAACAACAACCACAGCTACTCCAACAACAAGCACAGCTGAACCAACGACAACCATAGAAGCCCCAACAACATCCACAGCTGCACCAACAACATCAACAGCGGCTCCAACAACAACCAAGGAAGCCCATACAACCACAGCTGCAACCACAACGACCACAGAAGACCCAACAACAACCACAGCTGCTGCAACAACATCCACAGTTGCTCCAACAACAACAACCACTGAAGCTCCAAAAACAACCACAGCTGCTGCAACAACAACCACAGCTGCTCCAAAAACATCCACAGCTGCTCCAACAACAACCACAGCTGCTCCAACAACATCCACAGCTGCTGCAACAACAACCACAGCGGAACCAACAACAACCACAGCTGCTCCAACAACAACCACAGAAGCCCCAACAACAACCACAGCTTCTGCAACAACAACCACAGAAACCCCAACAGCAACCACAGCTGCTGCAACAACATCCGCAGCTGCTCCAACAACAACCACAGAAGCCCCAACAACAACCACAGCTGCTGCAACAACATCCAAGGAAGCCCATACAACCACAGCTGAAACCACAACGACCACAGAAGCCCCAACAACCACAGCTGCAACCACAATGACCACAGAAGACCCAACAACAACCACAGCTGCTGCAACAACATCCACAGTTGCTCCAACAACATCCACAGCTGCTCCAACAACAACCACAGCTGCTCCAACAACATCCACATCTGCTGCAACAACAACGACCACTGAAGCTCCAAAAACAACCACAGCTGCTGCAACAACAACCACAGCTGCTCCAACAACATCCACAGCTGCTGCAACAACAACCACAGAAGCCCCAACAACAACCACAGCTGCTGCAACAACAACCACAGAAACCCCAACAGCAACCACAGCTGCTGCAACAACATCCGCAGCTGCTCCAACAACAACCACAGAAGCCCCAACAACAACCACAGAAGCCCCAACAACATCCACAGTTGAACCAACAACAACCACAGCTGCAACCACAACTAGCACAGAAGCCCCAACAACAACCACAGCTGCAACCACAACAACCACAGAAGCCCCAACAACAACCACAGCTGAACCAACAACAACCACAGCTGCTCCAACAACATCCACAGAAGCCCCAACAACAACCACAGCTGCAACCACAACAAGCACAGAAGCCCCAACAACAACCACAGCTGCAACCACAACAAGCACAGAAGCCCCAACAACAACCACAGCTGCAACCACAACAAGCACAGAAGCCCCAACAACAACCACAGCTGCAACCACAACATCCACAGAAGCCCCAACAACATCCACAGCTGCTCCAACAACAACCGCAGAAGCCCCAACAACATCCACAGCTGCTCCAGCAACAACCGCAGAAGCCCCAACAACATCCACAGCTGCTCCAGCAACAACCACAGCTGCTCCAACAACAACAACCACAGAAGCCCCAACAACATCCACAGCTGCTCCAACAACAACCACAGAAGCCCCAACAACAACCACAGCTGCCCCAACAACATCCACAGCTGCAACAACAACAACCACAGAAGCCCCAACAACATCCACAGCTGCTCCAACAACAACCACAGAAGCCCCAACAACATCCACAGCTGCTCCAACAACATCCACAGCTGCAACAACATCCACAGAAGCCCCAACAACAACCACAGAAGCCCCAACAACATCCACAGCTGCTCCAACAACAACCACAGAAGCCCCAACAACAACCACAGCTGCTCCAGCAACTTCCACAGAAGCCCCAACAACAACCACAGCTGCTGCAACAACATCCACAGCTGCTCCAACAACAACCACAGCTGCTGCAACAACATCCACGGCTGCACTAACAACGACCACTTCAGCCCCAACATCAACCACATTTATGACCACCTTAACTCAAAACAATCAAAATGTCAAAGTAACAAGGCGAGTTACTTTTAGAACTACAGACACAGCCTTTTCTGACAATTTGCTTCTTTCAACCAGTGACAACTTTAAAGCACGAGTTAACCTCATAGAAATAGTAGTAAGTAATTTTATTTTATCCTTTACCTGAAATTCTACAAAATGTATTTTGTTCAACAGAAAACATTTTTTTGCATTTGAAGAAATGCCCCTGTATGTTATTCAGGAAGGTTATTATGTAGAAATTTTGCTTTAAGCATGTCAATATTTTCAGATGATTGCAACAACAACAAAAAAAAAACTGTAAATGGAATTCACAGTGGTACAGTTAATAAGGAAAGTCTAATTTTTTGACTGAATCATGCAGTTTGCCAACATTTTCCAAGGCCAAACTACAGAAAAAACTTGACTTAAATTTAAAATCTAAAATCTTATCTACTTCTATAAAAAACAAATATTCCTCCACAACCCTGAGTAGTTTCAGGTAAAAAAAAACTTTCAGATCAGAACAAAAAGGATTTTTTTCATGGCAAATAGTTAACTTTTGATGGCTGTTTACCACATAAACTTCCAAGTGCAAAATTTATTTTTACTTTTCAAATTCCTGTTTCAAATCATAGAAACACTTTTTAAATGGCTGTGCATAAAACAAAATTTTTGCTAAAATGTAGTAAAGCAAAAAACATTTTTTGAAATTTATATTTAATCTGTTGTCATTTTCTTGTTCTTTCACAGCTCACGCCAAGATTTGCAAGACAATTTCAATTTTTCTACAGTTTCATAGTCATTTATTTCAGGTAATTGTTTTAACAAGTCAGTGTAAAGTAGTTGTTGCTAAGCAGTTTTTTGTTTGAAATGTTAAAATTGTTTTTCTTAAATTCTTGTTTGCAGGCCTGGGTCAATCATGAACACTGCAGACGTAACTTTTAATTCAACAGGGGTTCCAAGTGACACTGAAATTATGAATCTGTTGGTCATGGAAGCTCCAACAATCAACAACTTCACAATTGACACTTCCAATATCACTGTGTTAGACCCAAGTAAGCAAATCAATTAAACATTGGTTATTGTAAATGTTTTGATTAGTTACAAAAAAAACTAAAAGCATAAATGTTACATTAACATTTTGTAAATAAACAATTAAAATTAGAAATGTCAAAGGCATGATACTTAAAGATCAATTATGGGAAATGTTTTAATTCGTTGCAATAAATAAATAACAGAAAGCACTAATGTTACATTACAACTTTATAAACATTCATTTGAAAGTAGAAATGTCAAAGGTATGATACTAAGATGGATTTTGTGTTCAAAATATTACACAGTTCATGATTAGGAAGTAACTTAAAAATAATTATTTTAGGTAAGAATTTTTTTTAATGAGATTTCTTTCATTGGTACAAATCTAACTTAATGCCTAACTTTATGACTGCAGCACCAATAATCATCACTACTGCTCCAAAAACAACCACAGCTGCTCCAGCAACATCCACAGAAGTCCCAACAACAACCACAGCTGCTCCAACAACAACCACAGAGGCCCCAACAACAACCACAGCTGCTCCAACAACAACCACAGCTGCTCCAACAACAACTATAGCTGCTCCAACAACAACCACAGAAGCCCCAACAACAACCACAGAAGCCCCAACAACAACTACAGCTGCTCCAACAGCAACCACAGAAGCCCCAACAACAACTACAGCTGCCCCAACAACAACCACAGAAGCCCCAACAACAACCACAGCTGCTCCAACAACAACCACAGCTACAACAACTACAACCACAGCTGCACCAACAACAACCACAGCTGCTTCAACTACAACCACTGTTGCTCCACCTGCAACCATAGCTGCTCCAACAACAACCACAGAAGCCCAGACAACAACCACAGAAGCCCCAACAACAACTACAGCTGCTCCAACAACAACCACAGAAGCCCCAACAACAACCACAGAAGCCCCAACAACAACTACAGCTGCTCCAACAACAACCACAGAAGCCCCAACAACAACTACAGCTGCCCCAACAACAACCACAGAAGCCCCAACAACAACCACAGCTGCTCCAACAACAACCACAGCTACAACAACTACAACCACAGCTGCACCAACAACAACCACAGCTGCACCAACAACAACCACTGCTGCTTCGACTACAACCACTGTTGATCCAACTGCAACCACAGCTGCTCCAACAACAACTATAGCTGCTCCAACAACAACCACAGAAGCCCCAACAACAACCACAGAAGCCCCAACAACAACTACAGCTGCTCCAACAACAACCACAGAAGCCCCAACAACAACTACAGCTGCTCCAACAACAACCACAGAAGCCCAAACAACAACTACAGCTGCCCCAACAACAACCACAGAAGCCCCAACAACAACCACAGCTGCTCCAACAACAACCACAGCTACAACAACTACAACCACAGCTGCACCAACAACAACCACAGCTGCTTCAACTACAACCACTGTTGCTCCAACTGCAACCATAGCTGCTCCAACAACAACCACAGAAGCCCAGACAACAACCACAGAAGCCCCAACAACAACTACAGCTGCTCCAACAACAACCACAGAAGCCCCAACAACAACTACAGCTGCCCCAACAACAACCACAGAAGCCCCAACAACAACCACAGCTGCTCCAACAACAACCACAGCTACAACAACTACAACCACAGCTGCACCAACAACAACCACAGCTGCACCAACAACAACCACTGCTGCTTCGACTACAACCACTGTTGCTCCAACTGCAACCACAGCTGCTCCAACAACAACCACAGAAACCCCAACAACAACCACCGAAGCCCCAACAACAACTACAGCTGCTCCAACAACAACCACAGAAGCCCCAACAACAACCACAGCTCATCCAACAACATACACAGCTGCTCCAACAACAACCACAGAAGCCCCAGCAACAACCACAGCTGCTCCAACAACAACCACAGAAGCCCCAACAACAACCACAGCTGCTTCAACTACAACCACTGTTGCTCCAACTGCAACCACAGCTGCTCCAACAACAACCACAGAAGCCCCAACAACAACCACAGCTGCTCCAACAACAACCACAGCTACAACAACTACAACCACAGCTGCACCAACAACAACCACAGCTGCTTCAACTACAACCACATTTGCTCCAACTGCAACCATAGCTGCTCCAACAACAACCACAGCAGCCCTAACAACAACCACAGAAGCCCCAACAACAACTACAGCTGCTCCAACAACAACCACAGAAGCCCCAACAACAACCACAGCTCATCCAACAACATACACAGCTGCTCCAACAACAACCACAGAAGCCCCAGCAACAACCACAGCTGCTCCAACAACAACCACAGAAGCCCCAACAACAACCACAGCTGCTTCAACTACAACCACTGTTGCTCCAACTGCAACCACAGCTGCTCCAACAACAACCACAGAAGCCCCAACAACAACCACAGCTGCTCCAACAACAACCACAGCTACAACAACTACAACCACAGCTGCACCAACAACAACCACAGCTGCTTCAACTACAACCACTGTTGCTCCAACTGCAACCATAGCTGCTCCAACAACAACCACAGAAGCCCCAACAACAACCACAGAAGCCCCAACAACAACTACAGCTGCTCCAACAACAACCACAGAAGCCCCAACAACAACCACAGAAGCCCCAACAACAACCACAGAAGCCCCAACAACAACTACAGCTGCTCCAACAACAACCACAGAAGCCCCAACAACAACTACAGCTGCCCCAACAACAACCACAGAAGCCCCAACAACAACCACAGCTGCTCCAACAACAACCACAGCTACAACAACTACAACCACAGCTGCACCAACAACAACCACAGCTGCACCAACAACAACCACTGCTGCTTCGACTACAACCACTGTCTCTCCAACTGCAACCACAGCTGCTCCAACAACAACCACAGAAACCCCAACAACAACCACCGAAGCCCCAACAACAACTACAGCTGCTCCAACAACAACCACAGAAGCCCCAACAACAACCACAGCTCATCCAACAACATACACAGCTGCTCCAACAACAACCACAGAAGCCCCAGCAACAACCACAGCTGCTCCAACAACAACCACAGAAGCCCCAACAACAACCACAGCTGCTTCAACTACAACCACTGTTGCTCCAACTGCAACCACAGCTGCTCCAACAACAACCACAGAAGCCCCAACAACAACCACAGAAGCCCCAACAACAACCACAGAAGCCCCAACAACAACCACAGCTGCACCCACAACAACCACAGCTGCTCCAACAACAACCACAGAAGCCCCAACAACAACCACAGCTGCTCCAACGACAACCACAGCTCCAACAACAACCACACCTGCACCAACAACAACCACAGCTGCTCCAACGACAACCACAGCTCCAACAACAACCACACCTGCACCAACAACAACCACAGCTGCTTCAACTACAACCACTGTTGCTCCAACTGCAACCATAGCTGCTCCAACAACAACCACAGAAGCCCCAACAACAACCACAGAAGCCGCAACAACAACTACAGAAGCCCCAACAACAACCACAGCTGCTCCAACAACAACCACAGCTACAACAACTACAACCACAGCTGCACCAACAACAACCACAGCTACAACAACTACAACCACAGCTGCACCAACAACAACCACTGCTGCTTCGACTACAACCACTGTTGCTCCAACTGCAACCACAGCTGCTCCAACAACAACCACAGGAGCCCCAACAACAACCACAGAAGCCCCAACAACAACTACAGCTGCTCCAACAACAACCACAGAAGCCCCAACAACAACCACAGCTCATCCAACAACATACACAGCTGCTCCAACAACAACCACAGAAGCCCCAACAACAACTACAGCTGCTCCAACAACAACCACAGAAGCCCCAACAACAACCACAGCTCATCCAACAACAACCACAGAAGCCCCAACAACAACCACAGAAGCCCCAACAACAACTACAGCTGCTCCAACAACATCCACAGAAGCCCCAACAACAACCACAGCTCCTCCAACAAAAACCACAGCTGCTCCAACAACATACGCAGCTGCTCCAACAACAACTACAGCTGCCCCAACAATAACCACAGCTTCCCCAACAACCACAGCTGCCCCAACAACAACAACCGCAGCTGCCCCAACAACAACCACAGCTGCTCCAACTACAACCACTACTGCTCCAACTACAACACCAGTAGCCCCAACATTAACCACAACTGTACCAAAAACAACCCCAGTTGCTCCAACAACAACCACAGAAGCCCAAACAACAACCACAGCTGCTCCAACAACAACCACAGAAGCCCCAACAACAACCACAGCTGCTCCAACAACAACCACAGAAGCCCCCACAACAACCATAGAAGCCCCAACAACAACCACAGCTCCTCCAACAAAAACCACAGCTGCTCCAACAACAACCACAGCTGCCCCAACAACAACCACAGCTTCCCCAACAACAACCACAGCTGCCCCAACAACAACCACAGCTGCTCTAACAACAACCACAGCTGCTCCAACTACAACCACTACTGCTCCAACTACAACACCAGTAGCCCCAACATTAACCACAACTGTACCAAAAACAACCACAGTTGCTCCAACTGCAATCACAGCTGCTCCAACTACACCCACAGCTGCTCCAACTTCAACCACACCTGCCCCAACAACAAAAACAACTGATCCAACTACAACCACAGCAGCCCCAACAACAACCACAAATTATTCAACCATAACCACAGCTACTCAAACTACAACCACAGCTGCTCCAACTACTACTACATCAGTCCCTAAATCAACCACAGCTGCTCCAACTGCAACCACAGATGCTCTAACTGCAACCACAGCTGCTTCAACTACAACCACAATGGCCCCAGCAACAACCACAACTGCCTCAACTGTAACCAAAGCTGCTCCAACTTCAACCACAGCTGCTCCAATTACAACCACAGCAGCCCCAACAACAAAAATAACTTCTCCAACAGCAACCATAGCTGCTCCAACTACTACTACATCAGCCCCAACAACAACAGCTGCTCCAACAACAACCACAATTGCTTCAACTACAACCACAACTGATCCTACAACAACAACAACCGCAGCCCCAACATCAACCACTGCTAGTCCAACTACAACCACAGCAGGCTTAACAACCACAGCTGCTCCAACAACAACAACAACCACAACTGCCACAACAACAACCACAGCTTCATCAACTACAACCCCAGCAGCTTCAACAACAACCACATCTCCAACAACCACAGCTGCTCCAACAACAACAACCACAACTGCTTCAACTACAACAACAGCAGCCCCAACAACAACCACTGCTGCTTCAACTACAACCACAGCATCTTCAACCACAGCTGCTCCCACTACAACCACGACTGCTCTAACTACAACTACAGCAGCCCTAACAACAACAAAAACATCGGCTTCAACTACAAGAACGGGAGCCTCATCATCAACCACAACTGCTCTAACAACAGCCACACCTTCTCTAACTTCCACCACAACTGCCTCAACAACAAGTACATCTGCTTCAACGTCAACAACAGCAGCCAAGACAACAGAATCCTCAATAACAGCAATCCTATCAACACCAACAACAATCACAACAACTAAAGTTAGTACAGGAATGACTATTGTGGTCACAACTGCTCCTACAACTGTTTTATCCTCATTTACAAACACAGCAACTAATGCTAAATCTACATCATTACTTGCTACAAATACTTCAGCCAACACTACAACAACTGTTCTAACTACACACACAACTGGTCCTACAACAATTGTATCTTCATTTATAAACACAGCAACTAATTCTAAAACTACATCGTCACCTGCTACTAACGCAACAACCAATACTACGGCAGGAATTACTATTGTGGCCACAACTGCTACCACTACAACTCAAGCTCCTGCTCCAACTTATATAGTTGCAGCAACAGTGATAGAACCATTTATTCCAGCATATAAGGATAAGACCAGCAAAGAGTTCAAGTCTCTTGAAACAAGAGTGGTAGAAACGGTAAGTTCAAATGTTTTTTTTTCAAAATTTTACCAAAAATGTGTTTATATTTAGGAACTATTACATGATAATATAGTATGGAAATCTCATATTTGTACATTTTTATTTCCCACAGTGCCTCATAATTTACAGGGCTAAATTTGGATCCATTGTTGTTCGCTGCTTTGTGATAGAATTTATGTAAGTAGTTTTTCTTTTTATCAAAACCACATTTTTCATTTTCCAAGCCAAGTGTTTTTTATTGCAGGTTATGTTCAATGTGCGTATTCATGAAAGTAAAAGGATAAAGTTGACACTTTTTTGAGAGATGCTATTAATGTTCATTAACATTCTCGTGTACTGGTTTCCTGCAGAGAGGTCATAACACGAATGAATGCTACTGAAGCAAAGGTTGGGGTAGAGTTTAATAACACTCTACCAGCTGCTCAAATCCCAACGGCGGATGAGGTCAAACAAACCTTAGTGGAAGCTGCGACTAATACCAACCTCACCTTCAATGTCACCTTTCAACCTTCGTCTATCCAGATAAAAGGTAAATAATGCGTGGTCAAGCACTACACTAAAACAATGATGCATGGACCTTTATTTATAAATAATAATTCCCTTCTTTTGACATGTGTTTATTTTTCTCATATATTTAAAATTAGAATACAAGGACATGTTTAGACTTTATTGATGGGTTATTTTAAATTGAGGAATTTCCATTTTCCTCACTTCTTTATATCACAGGTTTCTTCGATTTAAGATGCAGTGAAGTTATATTTAACACAGTGGCATTTAACATTAACTTACTACGCATCAAGCACATATCTAATTTTTAAAACATATTAAATAAATTAGAAATAATATTTATTGACAAATATCTTTCCATGTTTGTCCTTTGCAGATACCATGAACATACCAACTGAAGCCCCGATTACTAATGCTACAGTTCCTACAGCCTTTACGGCCACCAATGCAACTGCAACTTCACCTGCTACAATGACTGCTGTTACAACTAACCCAACAACAACAACAACTGCCCCTACTACTATCACAACTGCTGAGTCAATAACAACACTACTGGTGACCTTTAGGTCTGCTGGAGAAACATTTACTTCTGAGCTGGGAAATCCATCATCTCCAGCTTTTACAAAACGAGCTTCACTAATTAAAACAACTGTAAGTCAATTTTTTTGTTTTTACAATAGCCAAATATTTGTACTATGGTTTAGGGATGACATTACCACTATATAGTTGAGTAGAGTATCTTTATATGTATATGTATATATATATATATATATATATATATATATAATTTTTTTATTTTTTTTTATTTTTTACAAGTTTCTTTTTTTATGTTTATCAAGAAAAATAAACTGATTTTATAAGACACATAATTTGTGTAAACTTTAGTTTTTCCAGTCATTCTTTAGAACCATTTAAGTTTTCCGGCTGTGAGAGATTAGTGTTTGAAACCCAGGCAAAAGTCATTTTGATTTTCATATCTGATGAATAAGTTGTAGATGCAAAACAAATTTAACAACTGCAACAATGTGTTGAAGAGCAGATTTTATAATGTATTATTTGTTTCTCTGCCTGCAGCTTGAGCCGTACTACCGACGGCCGTATCCCACATTCCGCTCTTTTGATGTGTTCTTGTTCAGGTAACTTATCTTTAGTTTACTGATGAAAGAATAAGGTTGTTAACAGTAATTTTGGTCTGACCAAATATTATTTGTTGCAGCAACGGGTCAATCATCAATCATGCAAACATTCGATATGCAACAATATTTGTTCCCAATTTTACTGAAATTGGAAGAGTTTTGATCAACGCAGCAGCAAATGTCACTGCATTCAACATCGATGTTTATTCAATTTATGTGAATGGCACACGTAAGTAATAATAAATGTTATTTTTGAATATATATTTGTACATAACGAGCATTCATGAGCGGCTTGCTAAAGTCGTGTTTCTGCTTCTTTACATTTACAGAAGTGTCGGGCGGCGTCAACCACCAGATCAGTCTCATTACTGCAGCCTGCATGGTGCTGTTATCATGGCTGCTGTCAAGCCAGCAATAGCATTGCTGCTGATTTCTGTTGAGAATCCTACATGTCACTCGTATGAACAAAGACTTTGTTCCAGTTGGATACGAAGACCATCTAATGAAGGAAAAATGTAACATATATACCCAAAATACAAAATCCAAGAACAGTTTACATTAGTTAGAGATGGCTGATCTGTAGCCCTGAAATCCAGTCAATGAAGGAAATTATATTATTATTTTTGTGTATGTAGAAAAAAATTTAGTCAAATATATGGGTAACAGTTACCTCTATTAACTTATTAAAATGCTGTGTATCACTTGATGTAATGTAATTTATCATTATTTAAGCTGAGCATGATTTGTCCTTTAGGACTGATTACTTAGTGATTATGTCCATGAAAATCCTGAAGAATTCTCTCTGTGCAGCAAAACAAATGTATGATGTATGAAGTCTTATATGATTAACCAGTTTTATCTTTTCATGTTTTATGATATAAAAATGCTAAATTAAGTGTTTTATCCCTTTAATTTAATATGTCATTAAAATGAATATATTCTAATATTCAGCACTTCTTTACCTTAACTAATGCTGTAACATTCCTGTTATTTCAGTCACCTAAACAAAATGTATGAACTGTCTTTTAGGTCTTTCCATTAAACAGATATACAAGTTTACTTTGTTTGTTTTTCCCTCTCTGCAAGCACCTAATCCCACATGAATCAGATTATACATCTACAGGAAGGAACATTTAACTTCCCAATATTCAACACAAAGGCTTCAAGCGATACACTGCAATGTTTTTCCTATTTTCTAATTATTTTCTTGAGCCACTATGTGCTAAAATGACCCTTTACAGGGTTAAAGGTTAAGAATGGAACACAAACACCATAGTGACATCTAGTGTTTGGAGGTTGTAGTAGCAGCAATAGAACAATGTTTCCACTGTCAGGAGGGAGTTTCACAGCTGATTTTTGAAGTGATCAGCTAGCATCATGTCCAGTGACAAATCGCACAGGATCAGGACTAATTTCTACTAATACATTTATTTTACAATATTATTTAATGTTAGAACATCTTCTTGACTCAGAAGCAGCTGCTTGAGTTGCTGAGTTTTCCATCGTGCCAGCCTCGCTGTGATGAGCAGACTGTTTTATGTATTCGGCAACCTGTAATGGTGGCTTCTATTGGCAGGAAGATGTGAACATTAACCCAGTGTCATGCCCATCAAAATAAATAATTGCTATTTTGAATTAAAATAAAGCTTTTAAAGGAAATACCGAAGCTTCATTTGTCATTTTTGGGGAAATCTTCCTGACCCAAGACATACAGAATCAGTCACAGAAGGAAAAACAAAATTTTGGTTTTTTTTTTTAGAAGAACTAAAGGTGCAACGTCTAAAGTAAGCAAGCAAGGGGTGAGTGGATGTCCGAACAGGTTTGTCAGTTGGAGAATTCAAGGCTCTGGGGAGTAATAGTCTGGTAAGGATGAATACCAGGGTCATGGTGGACAAGTTATGAGAGTCAAGTACCAGTAGGTCCAGGTGGGGTGAGCGGTAGGACAGCGGGGCGGTCAGATAGGAGACTGAGGCTTGGCTGAAGGGAGATTCCAGTCATAGTATTAGAGCGGTGCATTTCCTGGACAGGACCACCCCCCCCCCCCCACCCCCACCCCCACCCCCGCCGTGTGCTGTCTGGCTGTGAAGCAAACAGAACTGATGTCTGAATGCTGGTGGCAAGCCTTACAGATTTACTCTCAGGTGGAGCATCAGGGCTTCTGCTTTAATGTCACACCTGATACTTAAAACTTTATTGTTGTTGTTTTTTGAACGCTTTATAATTCTGACCAGACACAGAGACAGAGGTGAAAGAGAAACAAACAAACAAAAGGAAGGGGTAAACAATCAATGATGAACAAGAGTCTGCTTCTAGACCTGCAGAAAGAGAAAAGCAAACCAAAAAGAAGGGGACACACAACAATACCACTAGAGCAAACTATCACAGCGTCAACCTGATGAGGAAATATAAAATCAACATTGTTTTACTGGACAATCACAATAATAAATCACAGTGCATTTAATGCCAACCACAGCCTTAAGACATGTGTTGAACGTGCCCAAGTCCATACTTATGAGAGCACCATGTGAGCACCTGTGTGTGTACACACGCTTGTATTTGTAAGGTTTCTCTATAGGAGTGTCCAATAGGGAAAGTGAGGGGCCACAGATCTGCCCCCAAAGGTGTGTAGGAGATAGAGGGAGCTCCAAGTCCCAGAGATCCAGGAGCTGTCCCAGAGCGCAGGGACCCCAGGGAGACTGTAACCAGAAAAGCCCCAGCCCCCTCTTGAGAGGCGCAGAGGATTGCCCCAGGGGTCCATCGTCTTTCTCTGTAGAGCCCTGCACGGGCCTAAAATCTGAGTCCGTGTCCGGCCCGGCCCGAGGGGGTGGAGCCCCAGCCTGACCCGGTCCGAAAAGGTTTTCAGGATTCTCTGGCCCGGCCCGACCCGAGCCCAACTTTTTTTTTAACCAACTAAATGAAAACAAAGTGCGTCAATCCTGACCAATGTGTTAAGAGACGTGCAGGATCCGATCAATTTGTTTTTCCCTCGTTTACTGTCATGGAGATAACGGCGCACTGGCTCTGGTGGTAATCAAGTTACATTTTATCTCTTTCCAACAATTTTCACAAGAAAACAAAACAGTCAAAAGCAGGGCTTGTGTTGTGTTGACCTGATAGTTCCCGTATTTGACGGTTTATTTTGACGGAGAAAGAATAGACGGAATTACCCCGACGCATGCAGACGAACTGACATTTTATTCGTTACACACATCGCAGATGTAGCTAAATCACTCAAGAAAAGATTCCCATCTGAACATCTGAGCTGCTCAGCGCATATGTGCACAGCGAGCTGAAGTTGTGGAGATTGGCTTGGAGCGCGTCGCAGAACCAGAGCGCATGCGGGAAGGTTCCTCCCACTGAAGCGAGTGTTTTCCAAACCCTGTCTCTCAGAGAGACTTGTCACTTAGAAAATGTTCCCTGATTATGAAACTTTGGCTGAATAGTGCTTGTTCCTGTCTCCAATGTGGCGAGACATCCAGGAGCCATCTGAGGAGAAGCCCAGAATCTCACATCCTCTTCAGCTCAGAATGCGCCTATGATTACGCACAAGCGTGACCCGTCAACCTGGTCTCACAGTAAGACCAGGTTGGACCTGTTCAGGTTTACACAGACAATCTTTACATAGAATTGACTTACAGATATAAAATTAATTCAGTAAAATATAAAGCATTTTATTTAAATATCCATTCATTATTTTACAAGCACAGAGAGCCGCATCAGATGGATGGAAGAGCCGCGGGTTGACATGTTTTCTCCAGGACCAGAGAGGACGCAAACTCGATGCATCTCTTTTATTGTGAGGTAATAATTTCTCCGAGTTTTGCGGTTGCGGGCGGGAGTAGACATGCACGCTACGGGTGTGGGCGGGAGTGTAACACACGTTGCGGTTGCGGGCAGTAATGGTCAGAAATTCAGCGGGAGCGGGCAGGAGCAGGATGAAGAAAACAGTCCCGCGCAGGGCTCTACTGCTGCGTTTAAGTGTTTCAATTTTTTCTTATGAATTTGATTAAAAATGAAGGCGCCCGGCCCGGCCCGTGTCTGAGGTAATCACACAGTCATTGGCCCGAAGCCCGGCCCTCGGGCCGGGCCAACCCGAGGTCCTAGGGCTTCAGTGCAGGGCTCTAGACTGAATAGTTCTCAGGTGTGAATGAATGTGAAACTAGTTGTTTGGCCCTTGGTGGCCCTGTAATTAGTGTTGGGACTAACAGAGTTTCAGTATGACAATGCTATTAATGACATCATTTATAAAGTAATGGGGTTATCCAATTAATTGCTTTTGCCATTATTGCAATGCCGTTACCAGGCACATAAAGTGGTGGATCACTACAGTGTGGTTGAGTGAAGTGCAGTGGTGTCAGGCTTTCTGACAACTACACACTAGTGATGTTGGTCGTGAACAAAACGGGTCTTAGAGCCAATAAGAAAAGCGATGCCTTCGAGGAGGTGCCGGAGTGAGTGACACATAAAAATACATTGTTTGATATTTACCAGCACATGCCTCTGTGTTATGCCCTCAGTCCATCAATTTTAAAAATTACTTGGTCGTGACAACGATGTTGGTCGATGTTGATATTGACTTGACTTTCAGAGGGCTTTCTGGAGCAGCCCAAAAACCAGGCTTTCTTTTGAAAATTCCGGTTTAACTGCCCTAAAATCGGTTTTACGAATGTGGCTAGCTTGAAACCCCCTCCCATTCACCATGGTAACACATGCTGGAGAACAAACCTGCTCTGTGGCAGGCTTGCAGCTAGGTCTTTTGAAATCGTGGTGAAAGAATACGATTGGAGGAGGCATGTTATGGCTCCTTTTTCATGCCAGTGGCTGGCAACCACGAGGTGGTGAATGAGTGACACTACTGGCCCACAGTGGTAGCAGCAGCTGCAGCTTTATTTCTTGATGGCTAAATTGTTATTATTAAATTTGGAGTTTGAAATTTGAAAATTGAGTTCAATTGTATTTACATTTTAACATTTTTGTATTTAATCTTCATTTGCAGCCAGGAGCGTTTCAGACCACTGATGTTGCCCCTGATGTCCAGGGGCATAGCACCAAATTCTGGGCCCTAGGTAAAGTCTTCTAGGTGGGCCCCCATGCTCAATAGTTTAATATCTCTCTTACACATTTTTGTCATGCTATAAGACAAGATAATAAATATGATCTTAGTTTAACCTCTATATTGAGCAAATACAAATGTCAGCATAATAAAAGTGAAATGCCCAGACTTCACATATAATTATTTTTATTTGCCAACAATGTGTTAAAACAAAAATCCTGGAATTTATTTTCCAGTAAATGCCCACTGACGAGTCTTCATGTTAGCAAAATCACTTATGAGATCTTTAAAGTCCAATCCTTTGGCTAATTGGCTTTCAATAGAAAGAAGAGCTAGGCTGTTCAGTCTATCCTGGGACATTGTTGATCTCAAATAATTTTTCACCAGTTTCAGTTTGCTAAAAGCCCGTTCACCCCCAGCAACAGTCACAGGTAGTGTGCAAAAAATCCTCAGTCCAATACAAACTTCTCCAAAAATGCTCTGTAACTGCATCCTGTAGATGGCATTAAGCAGCTCAAGAGGAGACCGAATGTGTGGAAATGTGGCACCATATATTGTTCTCAGGTGTAGCATCTCATTCTCAAATTCAGCTGTGAGATCCTCGTCAGTCTTCTGACAATTGTATCTCTCTGTTGACCAGTGAGCTTCTCTGGCCATAGTCCTGGATCCTCTGGTAGACACTCATCTGTGTTGCTCAGCCTCTCACTGTCTTCTTCTTCTGGCCTCTCCTCATCATCCTCACTACCTTCAGAGCAACCATCCCCTTCCCTTTCTTCACTTACATCATCCTCTTTCACATATTCTATCTCTTTCTCTGCTGCAAGGGGGACAGACACCACACAAGCAAAATGGATCATGAATTAGGTCACCAAAATATAACCTAACATGTCCTTTCAGATAAATCTGCTGCTAATGATTGCTTGTAAATTGAATAACTTAATTGTATAGTGAGCTCACCTTGTCTCATCTCCTCAGTGCTTTCTGGAGACAATGAGGGCCCTGCTGCTGCTACTGCGTCTAAAGGGCCATGTGGTTCATGATGTTAAGCTTTGCTGATATGTATTGATATATTAAATACATATGACATGAAATAAACCAGGTTCTCTCTGTGAATGTAATGTACTCTAAATTTTATAATCCCTGCATTATCAGCCAAATTATAAGATTGTCCGTTTTCAAGATCAAATATAAAGAAATTTAAAATAGGCTTAAAATATCTAACCAAGTGAATAACAATCAGTGTCATCATGCTATACAAAAAGCAGCGGCAGCTTCACATTCCTGAGATTACCACGAATCCATCGATACCAAGTTTGTCCTGGTCCATGACTGGGAAGGAGCTGAAATATCCACACAGAGTGAACCTGTTTTTACTGCGAGGTCCGCGAATGAATTGGCAGCGGCCGCCCGCGATAATAATTCTGATTAATATATATATGTAAATTAATTAGTGTTTTCACTGATAACACTAATAAATTTATATTTGATCTTGATGGTGAAACTAAAGGCGTTTAACACTGAACACCTAACATGAATGCAGCTTCTGAGAGCTAGCTAATATCAGCTAAAACTGTTCTGCTGCTGGCTGCTGCTCACCTTCCTTCTTGAAAAACCTAGTCAATACTTGCTTCTGTTCAATTAACTTTTTCTCCTTCTCCTTCTTTTCTTTTCTTTTCTTTTCTGGAAGCCAGATTTCCCTTTCTTGGGGAAAAGACATGACTGACTCTCCTGCCTCCAGCTCTGGCTGCCGGCATCTGCGATGTCTCATAGCTGTACATGCGGCTGTGCAGCCCCTGGCCGCTGGTGTGGACTGAACCACTTTGCACATTTTTAAGGGGTGATAGATGCCTCAGAGATTATTCGGTTATTATTTTTAAGGCAGAATTCTGTTTCTTAACCTCTTTATCCAGGTAAAGGGAAGTTTATTAAGACATTAAGTAAGTTAGGGGGAAAAAACAACAACAATAAAATATTTTTATTCAAAGCTGTCTCAGGGCCCCTCCCTGCAGTGGGCCCTGGGTAAACGGTACCCTCCCCCCCCCCCCCCCCCCCCCCCCCAGTCCGATGCCCCTGCTGATGTCAGCATTAATAATAAGTATAATTATTTATCAGCTTTTGTCTGGGATAAACCCATGAATTCAACATGCTGTCCTCTTTATGGATATGTTAAAATATCCTTTAACAGCTAGTGGTGTGCCAATGAAGCCTCATGAAGTGCTTTGAAGCATTCTCTACCTGCCACATGATTCAAGGTCTCAGACACACTAGCTGTGGTTCCATCTAGTGGTACTTGATAACATTACAATGCATTAAAATACTTCACACATTGTGTCTGTGGATGTCAGTGCAGGCAAAAGTCCATCAAAGTCCATTTTTCCTGAGTCTGAACCACACATATGATTTTTTTTTTCAAATTCGAACCAGGTCACTTTAATTTGGGGTACTTATTCCATTTTTGAATGCAACTGCAGTCTAAATGGTCATGTTGCATTAAATCAGCCTCCTACGTCACTGATCAGCGGAGGGGAGTGTGGTGTGTTGAAGTTCCTGAGGAGAAGCGCTGACAGAGAAATTCTGAGGTCTGTTTGGGCATCCCGTCTAGTTTTGAGCCTCGCATGCCGCTCCTCACTTGAATTACATGGAACTGACTCCAATTGAGAATCTTAAGTGGAACTGGCCATACCTGGAGGGAAGGGGAACACTTTGTCAAGCAGGGATTTATCAGGAGAGCCCCGATGTTCTAAACTTGCTTTCTGTAACCCCACCCCCACCCCAGGCTGTGGTATTCATCAATGTATGTGAACCAAATCATAATGTACTCTGGTTTTCTTCAAGCTGGAGTGAAAACGTTACGGTTCAGGCCACCTCAGATTTTGCATGAGTTTTGTCAGATCTTGCTATCACAATCACTTTCACACTGTTGCCCAAGGCATGGTGCTCATTCGGATTCCCCCAAAGGCACACAAAGAGCAGCGTAGCAGAATGACACAAGGCAAGGTTAATATAAACAACACATGTACAGCTACAAGTTATAAATAAAATAACTTACTTTTAAACGCTATAACAAGTGAACTTTAAGTATAAAGAATGTAGTTATACAAAATATGGAACCTGCAAAGGTGCAGTCAGCAGATAAAGTGACCAAATAACGTTGCTACAGTGAAGAGAGGGGCAGGTGAAGTGACAAGAAGGAATGTGTGTGAAACATATGTTAGTGTAATAAACTGGTTGGGCTAGTTGTGGGGAGCTCAAGAGTCAGGTTGGGGATTTAAATAGTCACAAGTTCAAACTGTTCAGGACAAAAACAAACCTGAGGGCAACAGTTGTTCTTGTCCTCAGTGTCCTGCAAGTCGCTGCTGGAACCTGAGATCAAACATGAGTCACTCTAGAGCCAGACAAAGAGGTAGAGTGTTATGTGAAATATGACTGTCCAGAGAGAAAACCTGCTGAGCAATCATAGCAGACAGAGGAGGGACAGAGTCCAGCAGTTAATCACTTAATTGCTTCTTATTGGCTGAAACATGAATCACTTTTAATGAGACAGATGTTTACAATAGCTTTACCTTTGACTTCTTTTACATAAACATTTGAACATTAATGCTTTTGATATGACTACAGAATTATCATTACATGCAGGGGTTCCACAAAAACAAACAATCAATGATGAGTCTGTGATGCAGAGGAATATCCAATCTGCTTCTAGACCTGCAGAAGGAGATAGAAAAAAAAGAAAAGGGACACACAGCAATACAACACATGCACATAGGACTTTGGAGGGTGGACAAGTCAGGGGGTGCGGGTATAGACCCCATTTCCGCATTCCTGTGGCAGCCTGCCCCCCAATTTTATTTGCACATTAAACACTTCCACCAATGACATTCCACGCAAACACACACTTGGGGCGTTGGGAGTGAGCACAGTCAACGGCAGTTGGCAGGGGGATTTCTCAGCCTCATCCCGAGTGCCGGTGCCCACTTCCAATTTTAAACTGCACTTCAATTCAATTCAATTCAAGTTTATTTATATAGCGCCAAATCACGACAAGAGTCGTCTCAAGGCACTTCACATAATAAACATTCCAATTCACAGTTCATGAAGCCAATCAGAAATAATGTTTCCTATATAAGGAACCCAGCAAATTGCATCAAGTCACTGACTAGTGTCAGTGACTATACAGCAATCCTCATACTAAGCAAGCATGCAGCGACACTGGAGAGGAAAACTCCCTTTTAACAGGAAGAAACCTCCAGAGAATCCTGGCTCAGTATAAGCAGCCATCCTCCACGACTCACTGGGGATCGAGAAGACAGAGCAGAGCAGACACACACACACACACACACACACACACACACACACACACACACACACACACACACACACACACACACACACACACACACACACACACACACACACACACACACACACACACACACACACACACAAGACAAGTAATGTGTCTATAGTTATATTGTGATGTCTTAGTAAATATTGTATTTGGTGAAAGATAAACTTTATTGTATTTATCCTAGTGGATCTATAATTAAACGAATAAACTAGTATTAGCACATCAAAAGTCAAGGAAACCAAAAAGTTATTATCAGGAGAGAGAGAATGTTTAAGTGGTTAGCAGCAGTGTGCTAGACGATGGCCCCCTCCATGAGGCCACCACAGCTCAGCAGAACGTCATTGTAGCTTCTTCTGGGGAGAAAAACACTTACAGAGAAAATAAAGTTAACAGCTGAAATTGCACAAAATAGTACAGTTAAAGAGCAGATTGTAGAAGAAAGCAGTAGAGTGTGAAAAGTGGTCAGTGTATCCTCCAGCAGTCTAAGCCTATAGCAGCATAACTACAGAGATAACTCTGGATAATCTATCCTATTTAGATGTAGGCATGTTGGAGGCAGGGCAAGGGAGAGCCGTCTTTACCGACTGTACACTCCACCTCCCTCTACTCCCCCACTTGTCCAGATTTAGGCTAACACCAGATTTTAACCATAGGCCCTATAAAATAAAGATGTTTTAAGCCTATTCTTAAAAGTAGACAAAGTGTCTGCCTCACGGACTAAAGCTGGGAGCTGGTTCCACAGGAGAGGAGCCTGATAACTAAAAGATCTGCCTCCCATCCTAAGTTTAGATATTCTTGGAACCACCAGTAGACCTGCAGTCTGAGAGCGAAGTGCTCGGTTAGGAACATATGGAACAATCAGATTACTGATGTATGATGGAGCTTAAACACAGAGGGCTGTGAGGGGAAGAGGGGTGGTGTGGTGGCATCAGGTGGTGTTGGCCAGACGATGCCTGCACTGCCCGCTCACCACAGCCACGAATACACCTCATCAACACGCACTAACACTGTATTGGAGCAGGCGGAGGGTGACTAGGGGTCTTAGCACACCTCTGTTGTCGCTTGGCTTCCCGGGGATCTGGCCGTCTGCTGGGGTCTGGGTGGTGGGTCACTTTGCTCGGCGTTGGGCGGGGGAGCCTGCTCATCAGCCCCCAAGCAGAAAGGGTCGACCTCTGGGAACCGGTGATGGTTGTACCCTTTGTGCAGCAAAACCAGGAACAGAGTGAATAGGGTGTGTTTGGGGAGTATGAGTGGGTGTCTGGTGTGCATTTTTGTGAGTCTTAGGTTGTATGTGCATGTGTGAGCATGAGGGAGGGAGTGTGTGACTGTGTTTGTGTATGACTGTATATGTCAGGTGGAGCCTTTGACTCCTGCTCTCATAAGTATGGACTTGGGGACGTTCAAAAATGTCGGCTGTGGTTGGCACTTAATGCACTGTGATTTATTATTGTGATTTTTCAGTAAATGAATGTTGATTTTATGTTTCCTCATCAGGTTGACGCAGTGATAGCTTGTGTGATGATGTGAGGGAGCAGGAGGAGAAAAATGTGTGGGGATGGGGAGGAATGGCTGGTTGGCCTGGCCTTCCAGGGAGCCAGCTCCCCCATTGGCCCCAATAGGCACCTCCATTGCCAAAATGCCACCCAGGGCATTGAGACCCCAGCACATCTTGCCAAGGCCAAAAGCAGCAGCGTTGCAGAGCTCCACGGAGTCTGACGGAACCAACGCAGCCCCACCCCAACAGAACATCTACTCCCATCACTGCATTTGCACAGCTTCCAGAATATATAAGACATAGGGCATCCAGGTAAGGTTGGGTCCTCCCGCTCCTGGACATCCCCCTCCCCCGTGATGGACAGCAGAGGAGCGAAGGTCTACCCGAGGCCCCTGAGCCCGGGCCAGGCACTGCCGTATGTTCCCGCCTTCTTCCCGGTAGCATACATGTCAGGACCCGACCCCCAAGGCCCCGCCCAGATCTCCACACGGGGCCAGCCAACCCAACACCCCGAGCCCACAGACCCCCACCCAGACCTACTCAGGGGCATTGCAGCTGCCAGGCAGCAACCCATGGCCACCACCAAGACCCCCAAGGGGCCCCTCTCACAACCGCCAGTAGTCCAGCCCCCGAGGCAACCCAAGCACCTCCAGAGGGGGGCAGCAGAAGTGAACCCACCCTCAGGGAACGTCTGGATACTCCAAACTCAGACCCTCCACCCCCCACCCACATCACCCCGCAGGACAATATCAATGACCCCCCATCATCGCTATGTGATGGAACCGATCAAAGGAGCCCAAAGAGATTGACGTGAAGTGGAAGCAGAGGCTGTATCAAGTGCAATATCATCTAATAAAAGATTTCTATACTGGTTAATGCAGAGAGTTTCTCTATTTTTCCAATTCATGAGGATAGTTTTCTTAGCGATACATATTGCAGTCAGAACCACGTGAACCACAGATGTTTCAATCGGGACATCGTCCAGGTTTCCCAGCAAACAAAGAGGGGGAAGTTGGGAACCGATCAAAGGAGCCCAAAGAGATTGACGTGAAGTGGAAGCAGAGGCTGTATCAAGTGCAATATCATCTAACAAAAGATTTCTATACTGGTTAATGCAGAGAGTTTCTCTATTTTTCCAATTCATGAGGATAGTTTTCTTAGCGATGCATATTGCAGTCAGAACCACGTGAACCACAGATGTTTCAATCGGGACATCGTCCAGGTTTCCCAGCAAACAAAGAGAGGGGGAAGTTGGGATATGACATTTCAGACACTTTGGCTGTGTCCGAATCCAGGGGTAGGATGCTTGTGAGTGCGCATTTTGAGGTCGATGACGTCAAAGCGCAGCGACGAGTACTGTCTGAATTCCAAGAATCCTCATTCTCGCGTCCTCAAACGCGTCCTCGCTCCACCCACATTTCGAGGATGGGTCTGATGGATCCTCACAGGAGCAAGGGTATCCCAGCATGCTATACGCGCCGGCCGCTGGACTCGACACTCGCAACAACGGCGGACGGAGCGGGACAGCAGTACAGCTTAAAATGTAAGTTAGTTAAAAAAAATAGCGGTCAAAAAAATAAAATACGTGTTTGGGCACTTTTGGTTTGTTTTTTATATAAGATCTAATACCGCAAATTGTTTTTTTTTTTTCATGTAATTTAAGGCTAAAACATGCCCCACCGAAAACCAGCTTGAATGTGTAATAGGAAAAAACCCACCGTAAACTAGCTTGATCC